ATAACTTTTTACCTCATTTGTGGGTTCATTCTATACTAGCCATGCAATTAGTAGATGTGCACAGCACCACTTCAACGTTTGTTTGAAGGTGTGAACTGATGAAATAGCACCACTTCAGTTTTGTTGAATATCACTGATGACATTTCTACTACAATTGATTAAGTTCGTCTGGTTTTCCTGATCCTTTCAGGCGTTCGACACTAATTATCTTGATTTTTTGTGTGATACACTTCTATACTATGGTTTTTTTCAGAATGCTACTGCATTCTGAACTAACTAGTCATCAGAATGTTATCAGTCCGTAGTAGTTGGTTCATCAAACCTAACAGTGGACTTTGGTATTATCTAAGGATCAGTCTTGGGACGTCCTCTTTTATCCATTTATATTTCAGATTTCCATAAGTCTCTTGAATATTGCACCATCCACTACTTTGCCAAAATACTCATTCATACTCAGATTTTATGAGCAATTAAATTCTGCCTGCTACCTCTTAACGTCTTTATAACTAACTTTATAATGTCTTCACCCCACCTAATTTCGCGCTCAATCTATCGAAATCAGTAGCAATGCTTCTCGGAACTAAATGGAAACATGAACAGCTTCCAAATCAGACTAACGGGTAACCAAAATGAAAAATCTGGGTCTTGGAGTCAATAGCGTCCTGATTTACTGAGCACCTCTTCCAGAACTGATTCAATATTTTTTTATAAAAACTAAAATGAATCACTGAATTTACTTACTTTAACGCACAAAATACATATTTCGGCAAAACTACCGCCCTGCGCAAGGATGACACGTAAAATCGTGAAACGTTCCACATTTTTTACACAGCAGAATTATACGCTATATACCAATCTTTATTATTCTGTGATTTCGCACGGAACAAAACTGATTTCCTAATTTGTACCGACTCGTTGAGTTCCATAAGATCATTTCAAAGTGAATTTACTCTTGACCCCCTCGTAAGGATTGTACTTGCCAGAATTCATATTATGAAGGAAAGCGATAGTACATTCAGCTTCACGTGGGTGCCTAGCCATTGTGGAATAAAGAACAATGAGGATGTGGATAAGGCAGCTAGAATGATTGCTAACTCCAACGAACATGTAGATATAACACTCCACTTAGAAGATCTGAAGAATTATAATGAAAGCAAAGAAGAATCTGACTAGCAGACTCTTCGGAATGAAACTGACGCGAAACTGAAATGCTCAACAAGTGTGAATAAGCGAATCTCAACATTGAAATTGATCAGAAAAGAGCAAGTTGTTCTCACAAGTTTGCGAATCGGCCATACAAAAATGACACACCTTTACTTGCTTCTAGAAGAACAACAACTTTTATGTATTACATGCCAAACATTACTAACATTACAACATATACTTGTAGAATGTCCAGAATATGAGGAAACAGGAGACAACATAACATAACTGGGGCAATGAAAGAAATTCTATGTGATGATAGACGAACGTTGAGCCACCTGATGGCATTTTTGAAAGCCGCAAATATAATAGATGAAATTTAAGAAATAAATAGCAAGTAGGCGGCTAATAACCTAGCAGTTGATGCCGCAAAAAAAAAATAAAAGAAAAAGAAAACTACGTATGCCCCAATGAACTCATTTTGTTCTAAAACCTCAATAAGGTGAACACAAGGAAAAATATTATCGTACGATAATACGAGGGTGAATAAAGGCGATGATTATCATTACTTATATCTTGCTCGACAAAAGCTGTTGAAATGTAGGCCGGTAGGTAAATTATCAGACCCTTCATCGCTAACTTCAAAATCCCCATTTTGAATTATTAATAGAACATTTCTTCTGTAGTCAAGGAAACGAACACGGTCAAATCTTCTGAACGATCTTGGTCTTCGTCTAAACAAGACGAAATAAGAAAAATCTAGAAATTTTATGACATATTTGCCATCAATCCAATATTGCTGGTCGTCTTTACGATACCTAGTCTTTTTTTTTTGAGGACAAAGCATAAGCACTTCAGGAACATCCTTAAAGTGCTTTTAAAGCGGGCCTGTGCGAAAGTAGTAATTCACATTAGATTTGAATCGCTGGAGATTAAATCCATTTCGAAAAACGTTTTCAGGAAGTTTATTCCACATAAACGCCATTCTCCAAATGAAAGAGTTCTCAAACATTGCAGTTCGAGGTGTACTGGGTTGATTCTCAAAGCGATGAGCAGTCACAGTCCGTCGCGTGTTTTTGATATGATCTGTTTTCTGGATGGAATCCAGCAGCTCAGGGTATGGCTTCTAGACTATAATATAATTCTAAAATAGTAGGCACTAAATTCTTAGAAATGATTGATGTTTTTGTCTTAATCTGTCTCTTGCAATGGCGTAAGGGAATTATACTAAACAGATGAGGAAAAATTATGACAAAATATATAGAATCACAACCGTGACAACGATGTTTTCGTTTTATTGCAATAATATTTCTGAAGATTTGGTACCTTCTAATATAGAATTGTACTATAGTCTCCTTTATTTTCACTTAACAACCTATCCTGAACATCATACAGTCACTCCAAAGTCAATACACAATCGAATTTCAGATTTGAATTACAACTCTGTTACAGATCTGTCAAATGAGAAGATCTTCTTAACCATTGTCAATTTTTTCCTTAACTAGACGATTAATTCACTTTGATGATTCATCATCATCTACTATAGATTGAAATGAAAATCTTGCCCCCCGACCGTAGCGAAAAAATCTAGGCGCCAAAAGTCAGGTTTAAAATTAAACTATCAACAAGAAATGAAAATTGAATAACAAGAATTTTTCAAATAAAAATTGAAAGATTCCAAGCCAAGTAACTTCACAACGTTTCGATTGGTAATATACACAATCGTCTTCGGGTGATGAATGGACTAATTTCCGCCAACAGCTATCTTGATTTCGAACAGGTTGGAGCCAGGCTTCCTTACCCTTACGACTGTCGTTTGTCAGAAGGACAAATGACTCATGACTGAATGGTGGTAGCGGTATGAAAGTCCTCAGACATCAGTACCGCCCTTCACGGTGTACCCCTACCTGGCTGGGATGAGATGGCTGAAAAGTTGTTAATCTGTTAACGGGGGACATGAGGGCCTCATTCGACAAAGTGTCGAGACCTTCTATATCGGGAGGAGTCGTCTACAGCATAATCTATAGCTTCCCTAACTAATGGGCTTATTCCTCCGAGATCTGACTATAGGTCATTCGAGTGATTTCACCTCTCCCCTCTTCCCGGGAGCTTCCAGGAGCTGACCGTTTGACGGGAGTTGGTCGTGTTCCGCTTGATTATAAGTTCCCATATATTGCGTATCTCTACGCTAGCTTGGCTAAATGCGTTGTTTCAAAAATATTTGCGGCTTCTTTGAATTTCCTCCTGAACCAGTGTTTCTCCTTCTGAATGATTTCAGCTTAAGACCACTTGATGTTATGTTGTAGTCCAAACATGCTCTGCTATTCCTGATTTGTTGGTTTCTCCTCGCTGTGTGTGTTTCTTGTGCTCGGTAATGCAAACTTTTAATGACCTCTCAGTTTCAACGATGCCTGATTATCCGCACTCGAAGGGTATCCGGTGAATGTAATCCTTGGAATCGCAGTCCGCGTTTGGTGGCCTGGTTTTCGTGAGGCTGCTACGGATAGTGTTCCCAGATTTAAAACAGGTTCTGATGTTATACTTGGACCTAATTCTTTTTATCCTTTCCTACAATCATCTGATGTAGGGAAGTGAAAAACCGGTTGTGGTGGCTTTTCTTCCTTGTGAGGCCCTTGTTGTCTTCTAGCCAAAGTCTGTTCCACCATGACTTTGGAGTAACCATTCCATTGGAGTTTTGACTGTGTGAGTCATAAAATTTCTTTGCATAAATTTCTCTTTTATAAATTTCTGAAATTGATCTGGTCAGGCAGTGTCACTCTAATATTAAATATGGAGATAATGCGAAGCGTTACCCAGGATTCAATTCTAGGTCCAATAGTTTTTATTGTGCCCAATGATATAACTGATTTTGATAAAAATGGTAATCTGGTTTCCGTGGTACTATTATTTTCCTATTATGCAGATGTTTATGATTACGAAAGGTTACTGTCAAGTTCTCAATTCAAAGTTTGAGTGAATTCTAGATTTTTTTTTACAAATACAACTCGCAACAAAAAATTGGAAACAGTGTTGAAATAAATTTTACTCCACTACACTCATTGATTGAGAAATTCCTTGGAGAAATATTGGGAGGTATCTTTTAAGGAAAGAATCAAAATTTTTATTTACCTTTTTAGGATATTTCCAACTTACACAATTTGAAAAAAATTAAAATTATAATGGAGAGCTTTATACAGGGTGTAACTGAATAAGTGTAAAACATTTAAGGAGGTGATTCCTCATCGAAAAAAAGATAGGATCTTTCAAATGAAGAAACTTCATTGGAGCATCCCTTGTTAAGATACAGCCTTTGAAGGGGATACATAAAATTTGTATAACAATTTGTATAACGTCAGGTACTACCAAAAAGACACTTAGCCAGTAATTTATTTGGTTTACCCCATGGTTGTAAGGGTGGAAACGCAACCCCTAAAATTTATTTCCAATGTAACTTTTTGTCTTATTATTTGTTTACCATTTGAAAATTCATTTCCGATAGCCTGTTTCATTCTAAACAAAAAATGTCTCTTGGGTTTTTTCCCAAAATAAACCAGTTCGCAGCAAAACATTATTTTCCGAACAGCTACAGAGATACATCGTCATGAATGCGAACTGGATTTATTGTTAGTTTGTAGTTAGTACCTGCATTGAACGATTGAAGGGTAATAAACGAAACTAATTTATTAATAACAAAACACACAACATGTAGAAATCATAGTACATGTTCAACCTTCAGACAACCTTCAACCTTCAGAAATTACGCATGCGTCTAGACGTCGGCGCATTGAGCCACGTACTCGCTCAAATATTCCTGGAGTCTCTCTGATTACCCTGCACGCATCNGTTTTTTTTTACAGATGACGAACCACAACCGACATGTGATAGCCCTCATTCTAGTCTTAGCAAATTTATATGGAATTTTAGGTAAGTTATTATTTTCAATACTTCATTCAATCTTTATTTCAAAAAATAGTCGAGAGAATCAGTATACTGTTATCTTCATTTGCTTAACAAAGCATATATTATGAACAGTAAATTATTCTACCAGATCTCTGAAGAATTAAATATTTTGGTCCCTTCAGGTATCGCCATTTTGTATCCGAAACAAGAAACAAACTAACTATAAATCTCATAGAAAACAAGGATGATGTCAATTCTGTATTGAAGTTTTACATAATAAATCGTTCATTTCTCAACAAATTTATCTCAAAATGGTTTTCATGAAAATAGTGTTGGTGTTGGTATATAAAGCTCGACCGATAGTCGAAAGAAAAGTAGTTTGAAATCAGTCATTATATTATGTTGTGTGAAGTGTAGGACTGGAAAAAAGTATAGTTTGTCTTCAAAGTTTTTTGTTGAAAACCTGTCATCATGAAAAGGTCTGACTCTGCTATAATTACAACGAATGATGTAGATGAATGGAGGTGACGGTGCAAGACAGGCAAGACAGTTTGGTTTCTCATAAATGTATGAGACTGTCAGGCATGTCCTATGCGAGTGCCCGGAGTTATCGTCAATAAGAGAGTGTGTCTACACCTACACCTGTCGATATAAAGGAGATGTCTCCCAGTGACCTGTCCATCTTCCTGGAATGGACAGGATGGACGATGACCTAGGAAGAAAACTCCTCGGGAGGATGTATAATGAGTCACAAATAGCCACAAAACTCCAATGGACTTATATCTAGTAACTCAGTTGGCTTTTGGCATCTCATTTATTTTCCGAACTATGTCACTCAATCGAATGTTCCATACGTTTTCAGAAAATAATTACCAAACTGTACTGAAGGTTTCCATGTATAATATTTTGAAGTTACGAAAATTGAGCAACATAATGAATTTTCAACGCAGATGCATAACGCCAGTCCTATAAATACCAGCGTGAAACTCAACTCAAATTATAGGGGACATCCATCACTCACTTTGGCCGAAACAACTGCCAAATTAACAACCTTTAATGCGCCCGATGGGCCGTATATCAACCGCGCCCACCGACCAAATAATTAACAATTGTGCTGCAATATCAAACGCAAAAATTCTGCAATTTATATTCGAGCAGTTTGTTTCCCACTCGCTCTGCGTGGCGCATCGTCGTCCCTATTTCCAATTACCCGCAAAAGGTTCATTAATTTTTGGAGTGACTACTGGACCGACAGTACGGTAATATCGATTGCAAGCAAAGGAAATGGCATTTGAAAATATTGCACTTTTTTGCTCAATATCAAACGCAAAAATTCTGCAATTTATATTCGAGCAGTTTGTTTCCCGCTCGCTCTGCGTGGCACATCGTCGTCCCAATTTCCAATTACCCGCAAAAGGTTCATTAATTTTTGGAGTGACTACTGGACCGACAGTACGGTAATATCGATTGCAAGCAAAGGAAACGGCATTTGAAAATATTGCACTCTTCTGCTCAAACTCACATCTTTCTCGAGAAAAAAATATTATTATGGGAAGGAAAAAGCACTGCAGTAGAATTGCATTGATTTTAGGAGTGACTACTAGGCCGACAGTTTCGTATCACTGATAGCTCACAAAGGACACAACGTTCAAAAATGTTCTGCTTGCACACTTACATTTTCTTTCATTTCGAAAATTAAATAATTTTTATGGTAATATACAAACATTACAGGAAAATTCTTGAGATATGCAGAGTGTATGTGCAATAATAGCACATAGCTACAGAATATATTCTTCCGACGTGCTGATTGTCAGCGGCGAAATAATATGAATAATTATCATTTCATGAACTAATTATCATAAAACGATCTTATTCATAATGACATATTTGTAAAACATATCTCAGTATCAATGTACACAATGTACCATTATTGAATAGATCCAATAACACTTCAGTTAGCATCATCAGTAGGTGTTTCTGTCACCTCTTAATTATGCTCACTTAGTTAGCGGAACTTCCGTTGAGAGAAATAATGTTTGACACTTCCAAAGAAGAGAAAATTAGAAAATGATGAGTGGAAAAAGATTTTTTCCTGTACACTAATCTCTCCTAAAAATATTTCCTTCTCAATTTAAAGTGATCTAGTCCTTACGTATGGAAAAATTGTTGTTCTAAGATTTAACGAGAAAGTTATTTTTAAAATTGTTGATTGAAACATTAATCATAATACAAATTAGTCTATTATTTTCATGATAATCTAAATACTCCCCTTTCTTCATAGTAAATGAATTTATGTAGCATCATCCATGTTGAATCCAAATTGATCAACTTGGTGTCCTCTTTTGAATCATTATTGTTTTTGGTATATTGAAAATGGCAACAGTTTGTTTTCCATGAAGTGAAAACAACCATGAAATATAACAAAAATAGAACACCCTTGCGCGTCCACATTTTTACATTTGAATTGCCTTTAGCTGATCAGTTTTCATTTGTAGTATGAAGTATTGCAAAAAGATATTACAGTAAAATATTTCAACCACGAACTTGAATCCACCAACAAATGTCGCAAGTTTCACTCCAATCTCGTTTAAACAGGTTGACATTCGCCCAAGGTCACCTACAGGTGGCTCTCGTAGCCACTACCGTTAATTTAACGGTTGATGCCGCTGTTCTGGAAATCTGGTTTCGTTTCATACACAAACAACCAAAAAATCATCTGCCGAACGGCTTAACGACCTCTAAGAACTGTTAGGTACTTATTCGTCTCCACGTACTCAGTACGGTTCTTCGGCGTTTTAAAAAATCGGAAATATGTGGCGGAATTGATGACTGTTATTAACTGATATCGGCAACTGATGGAGTATGTCGAATTGAGGAGAAAATGACATAGTTATAGATTGTTGTTCCAATTTTATGATTGAGATGACAAAAATTCTCCAATAGCTTACTTATTATCTGGTGGAAATAGGGTTATAACCGGAACAAGCCTGGTATGAACCTTGTCAGAATGATCCTTAGTGATGATTAAAGACGTTTCAGTTCAATACAATATTCCACTCTGTCTATTGGTTTACCTTTTTGACACAGTCATTGAACATTGAAGATGTTAAGATATAGTCTACTTCACAAATGCTATTTTCATTTGAGGCGTCTTTCGATTCATAATTCCACACAGATCAATTTACAATTCGAGCCAAGTTGCACCAGCAGATAATTGAAAAATTGTAATAAATTAAATAAACAAAAAGGAAGTGTTAGTTTCGAAAGTAATAATAGATATAAACTACTAAGCCCAAATGCTTAATGTGAGCCATTCTGCGATTTCCAGAGCTTGGAATCGCTACCAAATTTACGGCATAGTAAAAAGAGCCCCTTATCCCAATCAACAAAGGGCAACAACCCGCAGAGAAGATCGTTTGTTACGACTTTGGGCAATTAGGAATCGCACCGTTTCTGCTAGAACACTGCAAAATCGCCTTATAGAAGCTACAGGAACGCGAATTTCGAACCAAGCGATACGAAACCGACTTCAAGAAGTACAACTCCATGCTAGAAGACCTGCTAGAGCCCCTAGATTAACTCCAGCGCATCGAGGAAATCGTAGAAACTTTTGTCAAGAGCATCGTAATTGGAATTTAGAGCAGTGTGCCAATGTAATGTTTACAGATGAAAAAAAAATTCATGTTATTCAACAATGACGGACGTGTTCGGGTATGGAGACATCTCGGTGAACGCTATTTGAATGACTGTGTGCTGGAGGTGGATCTATAATGGTATGGGCTGGTATAACTTTGACAGGACACACGGACCTTCCGTTGCAGACTGACTGACATTTCTTCTGAAAAATTATTTTTTATGCGGCTGTTTTGAATTCTGAAAAATTATATGGTATCATAAAATACATACAGGAGCATTTTTTTCATAACACAGATAAAAAGTACTAGTATTTTTGGACTACACTCTAGGAACAAAAAAATGTAACATTTGTAGTAGTAAAAAAATTTAAATAAAAACTATAATGAGAAGTATTTTCACCTTATTTCGAGATTGTACAAATGATGTCAATTAGGTCGTTGTGGGGTATGCCTATAATAGTAAAGTCAAATTTGAACGACAGATACTTATTCCAAAAAGCGTCTCTGAACTTTCAATTGACCAATGTGAATCTGATAATAGGAATTCCACACTTGAGAAGCATATTCCAGCATAGACTGAACGAGTGTATAATATTCATTTATCTTTTTTTTAGATTGTGTAAGGTTATAAACCCAAAAAATTAGTATAAAATATAAAATGATAATATCTCAAATATTTCTAACTAGGCATCCACACATGCCATAATCTGTGGTGAGCCTTCGAAGCACTGTATGGAACCTTTGGTGTAGTAATGAATATTACTGGAGTTTTTTCCCAACACCAAACCGTTATTTCAACACATCGACACGTATTTCGATCACCAAGTGATAATCTTCAAGAGGAAGATCAAACTAGTTTTGATCTTCCTTACTAGTTTGATCTTCCTCTTGAAGATGATCACTTGGTGATCGAAACACGTGTCGAGGTGTTAAAATAACTGTTTGGTGTGGTGAGTTGCTAATATGTTTATTCAAAGAAAAAGATGAATCGAATATTACTCCTAGGGTATAAGAAAGCTCTACGTTGATGTTAACTAAATTGTATGAATAGCTCTGTACTTTATTTACATCACGAATCAAAAAATATGGAAGGTTATCTGTTACAAAGATCTATGAGTAGATATAACCCCGAAGAAAAGAACTTTCTACACGTGATATTACCATTTTTCCATAATGATAATGAATATATTTCTGTTGTAACCGCCGCTCCAGAAGTTGGTTTTCGCTATGACCTTATGAAAATAAAAAGGTTGTTCAGTTTTCAATCACCAGGTGAGTGAAGATAAAAATAAGTCACAGTCACAGTCTTTTCAAATATTTCCAAAGAAGAATTAAAAAATTCTAAATATACATTGTATGTCTTTGCAAGTCTCAAAATTCTACCTACAGATTCATTCCGGCAATAGTTGGTGCGACAAAAGGGTACTTAGAAGATTTCTGAATGTCTTGTTCTCCTTGGATTCACATTTGAAGTTATAAGTTCGACAAGTTCCGGGGAATTGATGCTATACCATTGATTATTTTATGAATTAGTGTAAGATCTGATTCTAATATTTTATGAGCCAGAGTATTCAAGTTAAGAATGTCCAATATAATTTTAGTCATATTCACCAATATGATATTTCAGTTTATATGCATAGTACCTTAAAAAGTGTTATATTGAAACTGGTTGAAATCAGAGCCCGAAAACACAGCACTGATGATTCAACATTGTTTTTTAACTCGCCATTGGTTCACGAATGCATTCCTGGACTTCAACTGTCCTTGAAAGACAAGCTGGACTAGAGGTGATGACATTTTCTCTTACTTCATTTTCGGGCTCTGGTTTCAGTTAGTTGCCTTGCAGTGAAAGCTACTGCGAAAGGCAGAGGACAATTCTCGGTTGTTGGTTGATATCGAAGCTTCGCTTACAACGGGCCGTCTTGATGAGCTTGGTTTATTTTTAATATTCGTTGATTGAGTCTTCAGTTGATTATATAGATGACGTATTTGTAGGGAGAGAGATGACATCGCATCTACTAACCCAGTTAGTAGATGTAAGTTAATAGCGAGTTAGTAGATGCAGTTGAGTTCACTAAGGATATCGTATTTAGCCTATACCCACTGAACTGATGAGACCTATAGCGGGTCGAAACAGCGATGTCTGTATTGGATCACGAATGATTTCTTTTTGGGCTCTGCTTTCAACCAGCTGCTTGACAGTGAAACTTTTGAAAGACAGAGAAAGAATCTCATTTGATGGTCTACATCAAAGCATGGATTTGTAACGGACACCAAGGCGAGCCCTACTTATCCTTGATAATCGTGGATTGAATCGATCTCATAGATGGCGTCTTTGTAAGGGAAAATGTTGGCACCTCTACGCATAGGAGATTTTTTGGATACTTTTCTTTTTTTTTATAGATGTAGGTGTAACTCCATGAAAGATTTTTCACATGTCTATAACTTCAGACGAAGTTATGTATATGAATAAATTCAGTGGTGAAAATATATCTTTCCTCAGACAAAGGTTTGGAACATGCAGTAGGATCTGACGAGTTGTAACACTGTTGAAGCTTTCGCGGCCGAGTTTTTCAGTGTCACTATTTTTCAGTTTTGAAGGCCGTCGATTCTTGGAATTTCTTCCTGACGTTTTGCTGACACGAATGGCTAGCGTCTTCAGAGGTTTATACATCCGGAATTATCTCCTATGACTGGATATTACAACTGCATAAAGCGTATTTACGTTGACTCAGGGGGTTTGGTATGCTGATACCTGTTCCTGGATTGGAGAATTTGTCAATAACATTTGCGACCCTTTTCTGCCATCATGCTGTTTGCTATTCTTGAACTTCTAAGAATGGGATTCCATATTCGATTGAGGTTCACAGCTTCTTCTTTTCTGTTGAAAGTATCTGTGTGTTTGTGGATCTCTATCGCCTCCCGTACCAGTCGACTTTGGTATGCCTGGTTAGGAGCAATGAGTTTCGTGTTTTCAAACTGAATCCAGTAATTTCCTTCACTGAGTGCGTGCTCCGCCACAGCGGACTTGTCCATTTGGCCTAGTCTGCCATTTATTTCATGCTCCTTCAGCCTTATTCCCATGGATCTTTTGGTGATTCCGATATACACCTTCACACAAGTACACGGTATGCGATATACCCCTGCTGCTGGTAATGAGTCTCTCTTGTTTTAGCCGACCTGAGAATTTGTTGTAATTCCTTTTTAGGTTTGAAAATCGTTTCATTGTTGTGTTTCCCCAAGAGTTTTTCAATTCTCTCTGTAACCCTAGGGATATATGGTAGATATGCACGTGCCACCATGTGAGCCTTCTCCCCGTTTTGAACCGTGAAATCCTTCAGTTTCATGGCCTTGTTGATACCGAGTAAACTGTATCCATTCGATCTCAAGGTTATTGAAGACGTTCCAGTTCTTGCTCAAGATAATCTGGTTCACATATTATTCGAGCCCGTTCAGTTTGAGTAGGGATGGCTCCTTTCTTTCGACTAGGATGGTAGTTTAATAGTGCGTGCAGGTATCTATCCATGTGCGGGGGCTTTCGGTACACTTTGTGGTTTTTTTTTAGGGAGGATAGCCTTCGAGAAGCTCACAGACTATGACTACCGAGGCAACACCTACTATACCGTCAAAAACCTCAGTCTATACGAGTGCCAGGGCTGGTGTCGAGAGGAACCAGACTGTCAGGCAGCAGCTTTCAGCTTCGTCCTTAATCCACTGATACCGGTGCAAGAAACGCTGTGCCAGCTCCAGAACGAAACGTCTTCCAACAATCCCTCTGCCACTCCCCAGCGTGCGGCCAACATGTACTACATGACCAAGCTGCAGGTGCGATCGGAGAATATTTGCCTGAGGCCGTGGTCCTTCGAAAGAGTGCCCAATAAGATGATCAGAGGGTTGGATAATGCGCTCATATATACTTCTACGAAGGAGGCTTGTCTTGCTGCTTGCTTGAATGAGGTAAGTGGACTTCAAAAAAGTCGTGACATTTAAATAATTATAAATACTCCTATGCTCTACATGGAGAGATAATCTTCTGGATAAAGCATGTAATAAAACGAAATGAAGAAGTTATTCATCAAATAAATAACAATTAGTCTCTAACGAGGAAAGATGTCGGTATGACAGTGATCAGTTTTTGGGAAAGAAAGAGTTGAACCTAATTACTTTTTTCCTTCCTTTGGAGGTTTCTAATTGTTCTGTATAAAGATGAGGAAGTATTATTTAAACATCTTTCGATGGTCGAGCTTCCACAGAAGTATTATATGGTCGGCACAGTCGAAAGCCTTTGACAGGTCGCAAAACACTTCCGTGGAAATATCACCAATAATTGTATCGAAATACAACTCATGAAAAAAGTCGAAGGTTTTTATTGTTTTCGATAACACAAATTTTCCAAATATATTGTATTGGATATTTTTTCGGATACTTTACGTAGTATTATAAATAAACATACTCATAGTGAATTGATGACGGTATTACTACGTGGTAGGAGATCATGAGAAATGAAAAATGAAACTTTCTATGTTTCTTCACCCACTTTTTTTGTAACTAATGTTACTGCATTTTTGTCCTTTTATTATGCAAGCAAAGGTTGGAAACTCAATTATTTGAAATACTTAGAAATTCATGAGCATAAATATTGCGGATATTATCTGCTGAATGATCAAATCGATCTACTTCACCCAACAATTTTCAAATTAGCGTATCCACATTGTCACAAATGAACAAATTTCAGGTACTCAGTTAACCTAAGGACCTCTATTATTACCTACAGTAGATATATAAGGACTAACATTATTATTTATTTTCAGTTTATTGTAATTGTTTGAAAATCTCCTTATAGGACGAAACTGCAGTAACATTAGTTACAAATAAAAGTGGTAAAAAACATAGAAAGTTTCATTTCTGATTTTTCACGCTCATCTTTATTTACTTTTTCACCTTTGATTTTTACTGGTTTTTCGATACTCCTTGTTACTTTCAAAAACTTTGTCTCCAAAATATACCTATATACTGCATCTCAATTAATCAGATATCTAATTGAACTCCTTTTATGTGAATTAAAGTTATTTATTTTGAATTCTTGTCAAGAAACCGAACTACTTATAGAAATTGAACTATAAGACAAATATAATACAGTAATTATCAGAGTGATTAAGCCTGTTCACGTGCTGAACTTTACAGCGAAGCTCTCTAGTATACAGAGACAGTCTTGCCTGACTATCTCCGGTGCAATCTGGATTTCACCATCCGTAACACAGCGAAAGTTATAGCATTCTGGTAATGACAAAATAGTTTAGGCTTTCGCGACCGAGGTTTTCAGTTTATCTGGATTTGGTAAATCCAGATATAGGTATTATTGCACCTGCCTACCTGAATCAACATAAACATGATTTAGGTTATTTACCTGAGCCGGGTACAGGTATTAGTACATCAAACTAACACAGGAGTCAACATAAATACGCAGCCGTAACATCCAGTCATCAGAGATATTAACTCTGGATGTATGAACCTCTGAGGAAGCTAGCCTCTAACAGTCAACTACGACCAGCTTGATACAGTTCTAATCCCGAGTAGGGCAGATATATCAACCTGTTTAGAGTTCTATGCGTCAATGTTCCAGCCATAAAACTATGCCAATGATTCATATATGGAGAGATTGGCGGGAACCAACTTCAATAAAAATATATTTGTATGGTCAAGCGACTTTGGAAACTCTTGGCTACCACTTAGCAACGGTCTGACTTCTGGTCTGGTTTATTGACCCGAATCCTAACGAATCTACTGACACCCTCACCAGGACGGGCGCTATAAGCGATTTAATTAGACCACACTCGTCATTGGCATCACTTTCGCTCTTGCCAAATAAAACCTGAATACATATATGAGCTGCAAGAAAACATGTTTTTACACCAGAACAAAAGTACTCTCTATCGAGTCCATTCTGTCAATTGTGGGAGATGACTAAGACTACGCGGCAACAGTCACTAGTCAAGTCAATAACTTTAGCCTATAAGAGTGTCAAGGATAGTGTTTGGAGGAAGCAACATGCCATTTGGTCAGCTCCACTCATTCATCTCCTGGTGATACTATCTTGTTGTTGCAAAACATCCGTAATTTTTGTTCTGGTAGGAGAAAAGTAAATTTGTTGGATCAATTTAACGCCAGCATTTCAAAGCATTTGTACATCCTCCGTAGATTGTCACCAAACAAATGTTAGATCACACCAATGATGATCTACGTTGTCTAACAGGCCTATTTACAGGCCACCGTCGTCTATATCACCATACCCTGTACATACCTCATCGCGGCCAGAATCATATTTCCAATGTTTTGCAAAGTTTCATTCTCGCTATTGAATCTGAGAAATCACACACCAAACGAACTGATTGGCTCCGTTCAGAAGCTAAACTTATCTGATGAAGCCGTGGATTTTTGGTATTTCTTCCCGACGTTTCGCTGGCGCGAGTGGCTAGCTTCTTCAGAGGTTTAACCATCATGGCTTGCTGTCCGATGACTAACTTTTAGGCTTCGTAAAGCGTATTTATGCTTTGTCAGGTAATCCTGATTGGTAACTGTATTGATAACTGTATTTGTACCTGCACTTGTACCTGTACTTGAACCTGGAACATTAATAATCTTGCTGCCTGTTGTCAAAAAGCAAAAAAGGATCAGATAGTTGCACGCGCATATCTTCCGTTTATCCCTAGGGTAACGGACAGAATTGGAAAACTATTGGATAAACACGACATCGAAACAGTCTCCAAACCTACGAGGAAGATACAACGAAGCCTCAGGTCGGCTAAAGACAAAACAGACCCATTATCAGCAACAGGGGTCTATCGCATTCCGTGCACTTGTGGGAAGGTATATATCGGAACCACCAAACGATCCATGGGAACAAGACTGAAAGAGCATAAAAGGAACTGCAGACTATGCCAAGCGGACAAGTCAGCTGTAGCAGAACACGCACTTAGTGAAGGATACAACATAATTTTGTTTGAAAACACAGAACTAATTGCCCCCAACCAGGGATACCATAACCGACTGGTACGGGAGGCAACAGGGATCCACAAATACATGGAGACTTTCAACAGAAAAGAAGAAGCGGTGAACCTCAATCGAATATGGAACCCCATTTTGAGGAATTCGAGAATAACGAACAAAATGACAACATGCAGCAAGATTGTTAATGTTACAGGTTCAAGTACAGGTACAAGTACAGATACAAATGCAAATACAAGTACAGGTACAAATATAGGTACCAAAAGTTAGTCATCGGACAGCAAGCCATCATGGTTAAACCTCTGAAGAAGCTAGCCACTCGCGCCAGCGAAACGTCAGGAAGAAATTCCGAGAAATCCACAGCTTTCAAACTCGAGAAAAATAGTGACACTGAAAACCTCAGCCGCGAAAGTCTAAATCATTTTGTTATCTGATGGAGTTTGAATAGGCATGAACCACAATAAAACCTCATGGATTGCAGTAAAGGGTCGAATATGCCCATTCACTCTGAACCTTTCTCAACCTATTTCAACCTCTGCTCAATAACTGAAAAAAATTACTAGAAAAATCACCAAAATCGCTGATGTTTCTCAAATTTCATACAGAAACCAGTTATAGAGTTACATATGAATTCACCAATAAGTATCAATAACTTCATTTACTTGAAACAGTGGGACGGTAGCTGGTTGGGTTAGCATGAGTGATTCATTCCACATATTCAAAGAACCGCAATGGGAAACGGTGCCGCACATGTTTCGCCTTTGGAGGGGAGGAGGGTTCGTAGGCAGGAGGAATTCAACAATTATTGAATTCGAGTATGAATAAATATTACCGAACTGAAAATTGTCATTTTTGACTTGTTGTCTACCCCTTGTGGAAGGCTTGAACAATTCACACAACGTGTTTTTCTTTGTATACAAAACTGATTTCTCCAATCATAACAAATATAGCTTATTCTGTTCGCCACCCAGTAAGCTTACCCTACAATCTATCAACCCTCTAAGTTTCCCGCTGAACATTAGTCGTCCAAATTGTGACCTAGCTGAGATTAACAGAGTTTCTTCTGGCGTTGGGAACATTCAATCGACTGCCTACAATATCCCTAAATTCCAAGTGCAATCAAGAGCAGAGCGCCAGAGACTCTAAGGACTACAAAGGAGTGCGGAGCTAGGCGATTAGAGGGTTGATAACGCCCCATTTACACTTCCATGAAAGCCTGCCTCGCGGCTCGTTTCAGTGATGTTAACAGTGTCTGTGTGGAGTGGACGACATCTTATAATTGAATTGACTTTTTTATTCTCTTTGCCCGGAGACGTTCTGCTTTATGGTGAGGAACATGGCAACTGCGGTTTTTATGTTGTGTGCAGACGATGTTTGGTGATTATCGAACACTGTCGAAATCAAAATATATTATTTTCGACACAATTCATCGAGTAACTTTCATTTTCCATGATGTTGCATCTTCCAGGTACAATCCACAAAAACATTTGGGGAATAGCGCAAAGAGTATACACGTGTTTCTAGCTAATTGAACCCATCAACATGATGTAGCCAAATTTTGGTTGCAAAACACATATAGAGAGTCGCCATAGAAAGTCCTCTTACTTCAATTAAAATAGATTGTATCTACAAAGCTACAACTAATATCACAACAAGGGCAACAATAGTATCGTGTGTGGTATACAATTAAATGTTTTCGCCAAAATTTTCTATTAGTATCAAAACGCTTTCTGAACATTCTTCCTGGTATTGATCTCTGAATTCGAAAGTACAATATAGGTATGTATAGCTGCCTCCTGGTAATTCTGGTTGTGACCATAAGGTCTGCATTTATTTTTGATTAGGTAAATGATGAATATAACTGGAGTTTTATCACAACACCAAACCGTTATAGTTAACACCTCGACACGCGTTTCGATCACCAAGTGATCATCTTCATGAGAAAGATTGAACTGTTTAATCATTCTCTTGAAGATGATCACTAAACCGTTATTTTCAATACCTTGACATGTGTTTCAAGGGAAAGATTGGACTATTTAATCTTCCTCTTGAAGATGATCACTTGGTGATCGAAACACGTATCGAGGTGTTAAAAATAACGGTTTGGATTATCGCGAGAACCACATTTATGAATAGGTTTTATATAGCCTATCCAAGAATTTAGAAATGTTCCTGTTTCAAGACTGGTTTAATAATAATCTATTCAATAGTTTTGTTAATGCAGAGGTTTGTTATGAAAATACAGTTTGATAAACAATTCGTCGCTAGGTTACCGAGAGTAATCTTGTGCAGTGATTTGTTTTTATATACCAAACAGGCAGTTCCGAGAATGGACAATGGGACTAGAGTTGATGACATAAATTTTGAATAGTTCTCAAGATACTCTGGGCCCAACTTTATAAATAATTTTATTTACTTGGCGAATGGCACCATTTTGTATAACAAAGATTGAGTTGAACTGTTTTTGGTTACAAACCCCCCAGAAAACGACACCTTAATGGATGGGATATTCAATCAAGGCATGATGAACCTTTATTGGTGTCGCTATACCTAATTTGTTCGCAACTATAAGCAGTGCTTAACAATCCGAGAAAATCCTCGACGACATCCCATCAGTAGCATACTTATCAACAACGTGGATCAATCAGAATGACCCAACAAAAGTTAGGACCAAAAAGGTGTTAGCATCGGCGTCATGGCCCCCACCGCCGTCTAAAATTATAAATACGATTGAACACGGAGCTCATCAGTCAGTCGTTGCTAAGACTTCGAGATATAATCTTCGTCTTCGCAGTTGACGTTACGTGTTACGTTTGCTACTTAAAGTTCGATTTATTCTCATAAAGTCTGGGACAGATAGTTTTTGAAAATTACGATTGCTGACCAGAGGCAACTTGGATTTATGAAGATTTGGAAAGTCAGCTGAATGATTGGTGATGGTGGAGATTATTGATGAAGCTTATTATTCACTAACTGAGTTCCTATTGTTGTTGTTTGTTGTCAGTTTTTTCTATAGAAGAAACGAAATATAATATTGAGTTTTCATCAGAAAAACCTTCTTTCAGATACTGTATTTTATTGTCAAATGTGTATCTACTGTCCGTACAGCGATTACTGCAAACCCCAACAACAACAATGCGATTTATCGGCAAAAACTTCCTTACTATGATCAAGAGTATCAAGAGACTCCTTGTTGCTAGGCAAATCAGACACATTATTACCAGTTGAGACTTTTGACAGATAGCACATCTAGTATGACCACGACACGTTTTTGAAGTATGGCCAGCTTTCAGGCATCTAAAACAAAGTTTGTTACCGATCAAAATACGTTTCTTTTGCTCCAAAGACATCTTCTGTGCCTTAAAACCGTGTTCACCAATATGAGTAGAACCACCACAAAATGCACAATTTTAACTGAAGCTAACCAAGTTTGCGGCAGTGGGTACCGGTGAACTCGCTCTCTCTTAGCCGAAGAGTTCGAAACAGTTCTCGATATATTAGCACTGGCGTTACCTTGACCGATGAAACCGAAACCATCCGAAGTCAATGTAATACGCTGCTCGTTTTCAACTTTGGTTTTCAGAAACTTCATGAGGTTTTTAAGACGAGTGTCTAACTTACCCGGACCTAACTCCGTTGAGACATTTGAAGCACTTCCTGAATTTTCGAGTTCAATTCTATGCGGGGAACATTGCTATGCTCTCAGTAAATCTTGAGAAAGGCATGACTGAATGAGAGGAAAAAGCGTCGCAGAACACTCATCTAATGTATTGCCTAAAGTACCTAACGATCGAATGTGTCTCTCGATCTGGTGATACATAATTACTAATTCAAGCTTAGATTTAGATGTAGCATTACACAAACCTAACTTAAGCAATTCTCTGACGTAGACCTCAATTTGAAGATTTTCTCTGCCAAAAGGAGATAACATGGCTTCGATAATATGATGATAATTTTCCTCAATAGCTGGATAACTCTCTACTAGTTGCCTTGCTCTACTAAAGGTACAGTTGCCTGAATCAAATAATCAATTTTATCGACTGCCTTGATATCTCTGGCTTCGTGGATCTTCTTGAATTGAGACCAGAACCAGTTTCGAATGTCACCATCAAACTTCTTAAATTCTATTGAAGGTAATTTAAAACTTCTACCTGTCATGCTGACGTGAGAACATTCAGAATTTGCATCATCGATGTGTTCTACTTCATATGTTACCTTTCTGAATATTTACTCATATTGGAGTTGCAGGGCTGCAAACTTCCTTTTGTAAGAGTCACAATTTGCATGTCCGTCAATAACTCATCCTCGGTAGCATCACTCTGCAGGAAGTCCTGGTACACTTTATCATCTACAACTTGTAGGTCCTCCATCTTTGCTTGAATTAAGTCGTAACATATATGTATCTGCTGATTATTGCGTGGGTCCCTGACATTAACTTTTCGAGATCAGATGTTAGTAACGTAAATGATCTACGTAAAACGGAACGATGCTTTTTATTACCTTCCATACTTTTACTTCGGAAAGAACAGTAAGTACTTGAAAGGTAATCTGAACAGTCTCAATGACAATTGTCCTGTCACGGTCGCCAAAAAATGTAGAGCCCAGAAGAAAAAACTACCCGTTCAACTCCGGTTCTCTCAGTTCAATGGAAATTGTCAAATGAGTATCTACTGTTCGTACAGCGATTACTGCAAACCCCAACAACAATGCGATTTATCGGCAAAAACTTTTTTACTTTTTATTGGCGTTAGTACATTGGCAAAAATTGACAACTCTTGTGACAGAAATAGTATTTTCAATATGAAAAAATATAGGGTGGTTTGGTACAAAATTCAAATTTCTTAACAACTACTTATTAATACCCTGATGAAGAAAAATATAGGAAACTACCAAAAATGTATTTCCTTTTCTTTCCCACGATCAGTGTCCAAGACCATCAAAGAACTCTTCATAGCCGCTCGCGGTTTCCGCTAATTGGCAGCTAATGAAGCGCACCTCTGTTTTTCGAAAAAAACAAGACAACATCGACAAATCGCCCAGCCGTTCGCTATCGCTTCGGAATCTAATCTTGTTTTTGTTTCAGCATCGCTTCACGTGCCGGTCCGCAGAGTACAACTATGTGACGCTGCAATGTCAGCTGAGCGATACTGACCGTATCAATATAAATTATTGGTCAGTTATTAATTGACACTTGACACCAACCAATAAGATCATGACTCACGTGATTAACCTAATTTAATTAACATAACTAAAACGTGTTGTCCAGTACAATTAACTTTTTAAAGCTTTCAATTAACATTTAAATGTTTCTATGTTATGAAGCAACTAGCTTTCCTCGAACTCACGATAGTAAGTAGTCTCTTCCGGTCTAGAAATTGTAACCGTGTTTTAGACTTGTTCACATTTTTTGAAAGGGGATAATGTCATATGTCGAAATTTCACAAATCGTTTCTATTGATTAGGATTGACAGACAGTTGACATGACATATGTCCGTGGTTATAGTGATAAAAGTTGTTGCCAATTTCAAATTATAAATAATTCTTTGGAAATTTCTACCTGTGGGTAGATTTTAAAAGTGAAGTTAGAATAATAACATTTGAATTAAATATGTTAAGTACATTATTCTATCGATACTAGATTTTTGAATCCCAAATTTCAATTTGTTTCATAAGGTTCATTGTCTTCTCTCCTTCTACCACCTTTTTTGAAGGTTACCTTTTCATCAGTTCCCAAAACGAATTATGAAATATCTCATCATGAAGCTTCTAATCCAATTGGATATGAACTCACAAAAAACTGGTTTGTACCTACTTCTTTTTTAGAAAACCGCCAGAGTTCAGCTTATACTTGAAATAGGCAAAAAATTCTTCGAAAATATTTATCGATCAGCTGATTTACTATCATTTGAATAAAAAATCATCGTCGTATTCAGACGATGAAATAAACTTCTTGAAAGTGTTTTTCCAAATCAGTATAATCTACAGCATACAGAGCGTTTTGGGTTTTTTCTAGCAGTGCCTTTGCATCTCCATAAACAAGAGAACAATGAATCTGAAACGTTGTAATGCTAGAAAGTATCCTTCAATAAATCGTACTACGATCACAATGTTTTTCAGATTTTCTTGATTTTGGACCACCAAATGAAATATTTTCACCTTCACAAAATAATCATTACTGATTTCAACAATAGAATCATATTTTTCAATGGTTATGTTTTTTTCCTCGTCGACTGAATAGTGATAGGTTTATTATCCTTCATTTGATTGATGTCCAGAGTAAGAGACTTGTAAAAGGCAATTAACGAAACATTGTCTCGATATTTTTATGGCTAATCGGACGCTCCTCACGGACGTTTGCTCCACCATGAATACCAATGACAATTGCCTCCTTCTTCTGCAGGTACCAGAGTCTTCCAAACCCCGAGGATAGGAGTAGCCGACGATAAGGTAGCGCAGTACGCGAGTCTCCACTACTACACGGATAAAGAACTCCAAGTGACCGGCGAGGCTGCTTGCAAACTAGCATGCGAAATCGAAAATGAATTCCTCTGCAGGTCATTCTTGTACAGGTAACGTGAAATTATTATTCCCATAGACATCTCGCGTGACGTGTTTGCAGATAGGCGTCGAGCGAAAATAAAAATTACGATTTGATATGCATGAGACATATACGTGGAGAGAGAGAGAGAAGGAAACGGATGGATTTTGACTTGTGTAAATTGTTTTTGTGTCAGTTCAGAGTATATTTTATTATCGAAAATAATTGAGAAGTGCCAAGAAATAGTATTTAGTTGGTGTTCAGTTAGTGAATAAGAACAGGCCAAGCACTATTCCTTGAGGTACTCCGCTAGATGAAATATATCGTCATCGCTCAACGACTTCACATCTTATTTTAATAGCCAAAATGAAGGGAATAGAATGCAATGAATACAAAATTATTTGAATCTCAATACCAATTAAAATGAATACCTAAAAACCAAATGATAACTAATAATAATATTTTCCAAAGCATTCTAAATATTCGAATTTATGTAAAAGAAATATAACGAAATTAAAAATATGTTCAATCGCTAGAAAGAAAAAGAGTTTTGGTAAGCGTTATTTTGAAAGCATCCCATTACAAGATTATAACTGAATTCGAATTAGAATCATAACTAGCAAAAAACTTTCAGTTTCAATCTCATTTTTAGGATATTTCACAAAACACTTTTTATTTTTAAGAAAAATATTTCTAAATAAATTTCGAAAAATTCAGTCTCCAACTACCTAGACACTAGACTCTGGTGAACGTCTGTCGAAAATCAACTACTTCCCCGGCTAATACCACGCTGGATATTGAATCGTATCCGACAGACATTTATGCAAGATTTCTCACAGAGGCTAGTCTCGCAGATTTTCTCGTTCATACAGCAGCAGAGCCATGCTGAAATTATTCAAGTAGATCACCTGCAGACCGCGATTTCGTCAGTACACGAAATATCCTGCCCAGACGGCAAAGTGTCTGGGACTTCTATTAATTTCAACATGGCTCCGCTACATATATGAAACCTTCTTCTGAGAGAAAGATTGTTAACTTGTAACAACAACTCCATCTCAGCCGGGTATTAGCAGGGGGAAGTAGTTGTTTTCCGACAGACGTTTACCAGATCCCACTGTATAGGTAGTTGGGTAGTTCAAAAAACTTATTTTCTTATACGTAAGTATCTCTTCTCGATGGTTTTCATTTTCAACTTTTCATTTTGTTATTTATTTCAATGCATACAAAACTTCTAAGAAAGGAGTTCAGAAGTACCTACTATAACACCTTTCTGATGAGAATACAAAGATAAATATAGTAGGGTATTGTCTACATTGTCTAATATATTTTTTAACTTTGCATGTCTGGCCATTTTCCAGGGTATTTCAATAAATCATCAACCCAGATTTATCGACAACTGTGTATGGAAAAAATATAATTAAAAAAATGTATCGTTTGAAGGTAGAACCATAAAACACGAAATAAAACAAAATTCGTTTTGTGTTTCAATTTTCTCCTTACCATACAATCTACTTGAAATATTCCGTACAGGAGTAAACATTTCATTCACATACATCTTCAAAAAATTTCGGGTATGTACCACATTCGAAAAAATTGAAAACAAAATGTTTCTTCCAGTGTGTAAGGTTCAAAAGTGTAAATAGTTTAATGAGTATAACTGTACTAAGTAACATAAAAATAAGAACACTCAGTGAATAACTGAAATATTTCATTCCTTTGTGGGGTACATGTTTTTCGTGGCAAGAAGAGAAAATGCCAAGTTTTCATGCCATATCAAAATGTTGGTGTCTTTAAATAACCTGCTTTTTGTAAAATGATCACAAGTGTAAAAACTATCATTTTATCGTTTTGTATGACAAAAGAGTAGATTTTGCGAGACTTGTAATTAGAAAATATATGGTGTGAGTGAAGATTGCTCGTGGAAGTAAATCTCCTCTGATTTTCATAAGAGGCAATATGACAGTCCTACGTTACGTGCAACAGATACCTCATGTTCTAGCATAACTTTCCAATATTCCAACCAGATAGTGCTCAACCGCATGTGGCTAGGGTTACCTTACGATACTTACAAAAACTCCTAGTCAGTTTGACTTGGCCACCTCGATCTCCAGATCTTTCACATATTGGGCATGTCTGGGATATCATGGGTAGGAGATTACTGAGTTCAGCCCATCATATACATACTTTGACGGACTATCGTCATGAGGTACAGGTAGCATAGGTACTAGGCCATCTTTCTTCGTTTGCCTGTCTTACCATAGAAAACATGAATACCAAAAATCAATAAAATATTTCAGTTATTACTGGGTGTTTTCATTTTAATGTCACTCAGTATATATAAATATATAAAAATCAATGTAGTTAGTTTCTGTTCTGCCACTACTATTGAAATTGATTCCAGGGGTCCACCGCAAGGTACACAGTACAACTGTCAGTTGTTCCATTTAGACCACAAAACCCTACCAGATGGGCCCAGTACATATTTGAATGCTGAGAGACCACTCATCGATAACGGAGAAAGAATTGGATCGTATTTCGAAAACAACTGTGAAAGTAAGTGAGATAATAATTATTGATGTGTATTGAGGAACTTTTACATGGTATTGAGTGTGACTCAATTGGGCTATATTGGGCTATCCAGCTATTGTTCCACGAATGTGAATTATAATATCGTATGAAAAGAAAATGAAATTCTATATTATTCAGCTGCACCAAAGAATACAAAGCCCATAGAAGCTCAGTAGTGACATTTTTGTGATTACCAACAGAACTGGGTAGCAGTCGCTGACAAACCAGTCGGCTTTCTAACTCAATTTTTGCGTACATCCAACTTCGATTTTGACTGTTTTGTCAGCGACTGCTAGCTACCCAATTCTGTTTATATTCACATTAATTAATGTCATCGTACTCCTATTGCCCTCTGGTGGTCATGGTAAGTACTGAACATTTTACGTACTGACATGAAAATGCCTCTTCTGAGCTTCTATGGGCTATGTATTTTTTTGGCTGCACATCAAATATGTATTCAGGACAGATATGCTACTGTCATGTCATCATACTCTTTTTCTTTAGAAAGTTAACTTCATTAATGGAATTATACGATGCTAAAATCTTTCACTCAGAAGCTAAAGTAAATTATCGCAAATGTGGAAATGTACTTCCATTCATGGCCTTCTTGAAAAAATAATATGGAAGTCTAAGCATACCGCTATTCAAAAAAATATTTTTCCTACATTCAACGATTATCTTAAACGTTCTGAATATGATAATTTCAGACTGTTTTGGAAATATTTGACTCCACCCAACATTTCTGTTCTATTCGATCTAACGGTTTCAGTAATTCATGTGGGTTTTCAAATCATGTGAATGTCTTCATTCAGTTTGGTGTATTTCATTATTCGGGTGAGAAAAAGTCAAGTGATACAAGATGTGGTGATTTTGCGGCCAATCCCCTCTTCCGTGAATTCATAAAAGTTCTAGCCTAAAATAACGAAAACATAAAAACTAATGAAACGTATTTGTGCATTTGCCTTTATGGATTGCAATAGAATTCATACAGAGCGTATATAACATTTACCATGTGCTGGTAAGATGAACAAGTTGAAAACTATCTCTAAAACATAAATTGCTGTTGATCATAAAACCCTAAGTAATGTCACTGCAACATCTAATAATGACATTTCGTTAATTGCTTCTGCAAATTCAGCTCATTAATGCCATCAGACGATCATCCTGAAGCAAAAATTAATGATCAGTCTCTCATTACCCTAATTACCCACTATATCTGTGCACTTTCGAAAAAAATGCCTTGTTCTCGTTTCAGAAAAGAGATGTAATAGTTCTACAATTTAAATGTGTCAGACAAGTTCGTCTACCCGTCTGAGTCGAATGATTACCTGGTAATTAGGAAAATTAGAGGTTATGGTTAGTTACAACGAGACGCGGCTGCGGTGTAGCCATCGAGAGCAATATTCATATTTTTTTCCTGCTAATTGTTGATCGATATGGTGTTACTTGCGCTCCACCGAAGAAAAATAGAGAATAATGAGTGATTATCAATAATTCATAGGTGCTACGCAAGGCTACTTTGTGTTCTGTCTTGTTTCATCTGGGAAGGAATTTTATTCGTATGTTCTTCACTTCGGATTTGTGTGTGCTGTGGATTTGTCCCATGTACTTCAGAAGTGCATATACATCTTTAGAAGGAAAATACTCATTAATTTTCCCCCCCTTTTATTTTCTGAACAGGTCAACTCAAACAACAACAACTCAATTTTGAAGTGAAATTGACAGATGAAACTTTCAAGATGGCGACTGGGCGCCATCTGGGAAAAAATTAAATGGAAAGGGGGATCTTGTGGAATATAATGTTACTATCTTCAACTACTACAAAATGGCGGAACTTTCATAAATTTCCTGAATACATTGACATTTAACCAGATAATATGAGGTAATTAGCTTGAGGTCAGGTCAGAAGATGCTCGAAATGGTTGCCTTGAACTTCTTGACATATGAACAGCCTATCCGATATTTCACGCCGAACCTTTTTTTTAATACAGTAACGTCAATATCTCTACAAATATTTACTATTATCTGCCGTATACCTAATATTGAAGCAGGTTCAGCTTCGTACAGCTTTTGCTTCAAAGAGGTGTCAAATCTGGCGAGCGGGATGGCCATTCTGTAGGACATCGACGGCCAATCCAACGACCGGAAAAAGTAGTATTTGAATAGTTTCTTACTTTTCTGGAGTAATGTGGTGGTACCCCATCTTGTTGCAATACAATATCCATATCGAATTTATCGAGTTCAGTGATGAGATAGTCAACAGTAGTTTCCAGCATATTCAAATACAGTTCCCCAGTTAATTTTTGATCAATAAATAGAGCTCCTACAATATGGTTTCCCAATATTCCTGCCCAGACGTTAATTTTTTCTGGATATTGGGTATGTGTTTCTCGGAAAACGTGAGGGTTGGTGTCACTCCAATAACGACAATTTTGTCTGTGAACATTGCCGTTTAAAAAAATGTACATTCGTCACTAAAACAAATATTGTGGAGATAGGTAGGATGCCTTGCAATTGTTTCCGTCATGATTTCACGAAATTATCTTCTTCGATCAGGGTCATCTTCAGTTAATTGGTGTACCATTTTAATTTTGTATGGATGATATACCTATTCCTCTTCAAAAGTCTCCACACAGTAGAAGGAGACACCTCACAAACATTTGCGACGGAATAAATAGACTGTTCAGGATTTACTACCATCTCACCAATTATTTGCACTTGCTGTTCTTCCGGAATGGACGGATGACCTGGGGGTTTTTTGTTATGTACATTAAAGAAAGGCACTTTAGAAAATAATATTAACTAATTTTTAAAAAAGACGAGATTTTGTTGATGTGCACTAAGATAATGAAATAAAACGAATGAAATAAGCTAATCAAAATCGTGACTGGTAGAATTGTAACCTCTAGCGTGAAATGAGAACGTTTTTTTTTATACCAGAACAAAAAATACTGTCTTTCAACGCGTGGTATGTCACGATGATGCTAAATTTTTTAGCGAAATGCGCGACAGGAGAGTATTTTTGTTTTGCTTTGGAAAAAGCATTTCTGAAGCAATTCAAATTTGACAGTTTCTCAAATCATGACAGATTTGCCAGCGGATGGAATTATTATTCCCCTGCCGGGTGAAGTGTCACCCATAGAGGTGGGCGTCCTCCTAAATAAGGCCTCTTGTCGTATAAAGCCTTGCCACATTAATGCGGAGCTCAGCAGTGATAGACCTCTCTTCCCTTGCTACTCGTAGGACCCTTTATGGAATATGAAGTATCAAAAGCATCTGCATTAATGCGGAGCTCAGCCGTGATAGACATATCTTCCCTTGCTACTCGTAGGACCCTTTATGGAATATGAAGTATCCAAAGCATCTGCCTCTAAGTCTACAGAGAACATAGGCGTCGACTAAATGACTCCACTGTACTCCCTGTCACAATCTATCAAGAGGGAGAGCTTCTCAGTTCTCTTGATCCTGCACAAACCTAGGAGACTAGGTGGCGAGATTAGGTGCCAAACTAGAGACGAAAACGGTCTGCTTGGCTGAATCTAAAGTACGTCAGGTATAGCTTACATACAGATGCCTCCATATTGATAGGTTGCTGAGGGCATCAAGGTGGAAATCTTGCATCCGATAACCTCGATATCGACCAATCAATTAGAATCTATTTAGTTTACCATTATGACTACCTTACAGGATATTCCAGAATATGATCCACAGGTACGATTTTGGATGTACTTATTTCGACCTGGACGGGTGCAGGTTACCTGAGAGGATCAGGAGAGTTTCTCCTGACTGGTGGGAGTAGTTAGTACCCTGCAACCACTGGAGCGCATCTCCTTGAAATGCGTCCAAGATAATATTTCTCAAGTCATTACTAGTATGAGGAAAATGTACCATAGTCTGTCAACCTTAGAGTGACATATATTTATAGTTACTACTGGAGGTAGTATCGAATTATTGTGTACCTAGATGTTCTAAAGAACCTCCACATAGAAACCAGACAATCTTGGCATTCCGTAGCAACTTTCTGACAGAGTAACTTGATTTTGGATGACATTGGAATTTTACAAACAACTTTCCAGGCAGCATGTTCTGGCGTGAATTAGGTTTGCCCAGACTTGTTTGCCATCACTTTTTTTTGCTACAGGAACATATTCTCCTCAACCTAAAGTTTTCTCTTTTGCTTTCTTTCTGTTGAAAATTCACACCCACTGCCAAGACAATGTTGGACAATATGTCTATTGAACTCACACATAAACACATTTTTCAATGAACTGATTCCACGTTTGCTTAATTTGATTCAACTCTGGTGATGGAGCTGGGCACTTAATGACTTCTCAGTAAAGTGCTAGTTTGACTCTCAAAAAACATATTTGTCTCTAAAAAAAACATAGAGGATTCCAGATGTGAACCATTTTATGTTTTTGACATTTGCATGATTATTCTAAACTAATGAAATGAGTGTTCGAAAAGATGATGGATTGTTTTTTTCTTCGTGAGCAAACAGAATTAATTATTATCAATAAATTGATGGATGTAGCCGTTATTACGTGGTAGGAGATCATAATGAAGAAAAGAGAAATGAAAATTTCTATATTTTTTACCACTTTTAATTATAACTATAACACTATAACAACTATACCAATTATTACAATTATTGTATTAGTTTGAGAATGTCCATATAGGACGAAACTGCAGTAACGTTAGTTACAATTAAAAGTGGTGAAAAACATAGAAATTTTCATTTCTCTTTTCACAATTATTATCACTCCTCACTCTTGCCAATGTATTTTAAAAGATTCAGAACAAAATGAGTTGGGCAATATTTTCCATTTCGTAGTATTTTTCTGATAGGATGACTAGATATTGAATTACTTTGGAAGAGTTCAAAGAACTATCAACACAGTTATATCAAGCGTTAATTTGACTAGCCTTGTTTCCGCCATCACTTCTTTTTTGCAGTGAAGTCTTTATCTTTATCAGATTTTCACTTTTCAACATGCTCTTATTCAACTAGGCCTGTTAGACTAATCTTGAAACTGAATTTTGAACCATTTAACACATATTTCATTCTCGTGACAATGCACGAACAGATTGATGAGGAAACGTAATGTTTTTCCTCTTCATTAGCGAACACAATAATTATCACCCTAAAACATTGCCAATGTATCAGAGATGTTACTCATTCTTGTCATGAGAGTAAACAGTGTTGAACAAGGCAATTTCATACTCGTACAACGTTGTTTCCCATATCTCGAGATCTATTCTCCCAACCGTAGCGGACAAGCCATGTAACGCGTGTGGATCTAACTCAGGGGAAATTAGAATTGAATAATGGATAATGCCTGCCTGTCGATCGTCGAACAACCACGTAAATAAATACATAAATAACGTCCGATTTACAGAAGCGACTGCTGCATCCGGTGCCACATCAGATAACACCCTTCCTGTGGTCTTCGAGACCACTGAAGACGCTACTCTGAACAACCTGACGAGGAGCGATGTCAACTGCGACAAAACTGGTACTTGCTACGATGGTGAGTGTTTCGTTTATAATATTAATACTTGTAATACTTATTTTGCTGCACAAATGTAGTTTATAGTAGTCTACAGATGGTATAAGCAACCCAACAGCAAATTATTGAACATGATAGATACTTTTTAAATTATTACTTACGATAATTTTTACCATTTAAGTATTCTGAATGAACTAACCACGCTGAATTGAGTCACTGTAATTAAGCTGTGAAGGCGTATTTAGGACAGAGTTGTTCAGCCTAGCACCACTGATGAGACCTTGGCGGGCCGACACAGCGCTGTCTGGTGTTTATTTTTTCATATATTTCCAGTAGAATACAAAACGGAACAAACCCAAATAGAGAATTCACCAATGATGAGGTGAAAGTAACAGTAAATGATTTGATTTTGTTACATAATATGCGATATCGTGTTATGAACAGTTGTTAATCAAGTGCAGTGTAAATTACAACAGGTACACATGAAAATGAGGATTATATGAACGTTTGAGAGACGTGGGAAAGGTTGCGAGGGAATTAGAAAAGATGTCAATTTCTATTGATTTTGATATAGGAACTTAACATCAGCTATTTGGCACTGCCTGCCAATGATATCAGATTGAGTTGTATTTTAATTTGTAATGGATCAAAGTGACGACTTTGCAGTGTATAGACTCAAGTCTTTCAATATACGAGATGTACAGGGGGTTCCATATAACTGAAGTAAAACTAAGATAACTATTTGCATAAGCCATGTAAAGGTTATGAACAGAGTTAGTATTGCTTAAGTCGTGACAAGTTCTGGACAGGAATCCAAGAGCTTTTAGCTTTTTTGCGATATTGGTAAAATAATAGTTTAGAGTAATATAATACTGCCAAGTTCTTGACTTCAGATGTTTTCTTTAGCTGCTACCTGTTTATGTGATATTGGTGAGGGTAAATATTCTTGTTTCTTGTAAACGTGATAGAGAGGCATTTTTAAAACAAAGAATAGAGAGTTTTTCTTGCAGAATTCAACAAGACAATCAATATCGTTTTGTATGAGGAGTGAATCGTTGGTACATGTCACAGTATGGAATACTTTCAAGTCGTCAGCATACATTAAAAAATCGCAGTAGGAGAAACAACTAGATATATCGTTAATATAAATATTAAAGAGGAGAGGCACCAGATGGGAGCCCTGAGGAACTCCGGAAGTAATATTATTGAATCTAGAACTGAACTTTCCCAGATTGACTGCCTTAGACCTATTTGTAATACACGACTGAAACCGTCTCAGCAGATCATCGTGTGTACCGATTTCTGCCAGCTTGTCGAGTAGAGTTGCATGATCTATCTTGTAGAATGCCTTGCTGAAATCGATATGGATGGCATCAACCTGATAGCCTTCGTCCATGTTCTTCAAGATATATTCAGTTTAGATAAATAAGTTAGTTTCAATGGAGCAATGTTTTACAAAGCATACATAGTCACAAATGAATGACTCAAAAAAAGTTTGGAAATCAAACAGAGTTTTGATGTAGGGCGATAGTTTTCAAACAATAACATATTACCACTTTTGAAGATGAGAACTACAAGTGCAGTTTTCCATATTTTTGAGAAATAGCCTTCTTTCATAGACTTATTGAATGGAATAGATAAGATATGAGTCATTTCTAGAGCGCATTGTTTTAAAAAAACAGGTGCTTTCTGAAGAAGATACAAGTTCATCTAGTTGCCTTGCAGTGAAAGCTGCAGTGAAAGACAGAGGACGAATCTCATTCGACTGTTGGTGTTGAAGCTTGGCTTTGAAACTGACTGCCTTGGGAGGCTCATAATTTTTTGATATTCAAAGATTGAGTCATCTGTTGATCCCACAGATGTTGTCTTCCTAGGGGGAGATGTTATCGCCTTTACTTCTGGGTACGTCTTGTTGGAAAAAAATGCTTTTTGCCCCATTGGCTGATACCGCATAACTTTCATATACTTTTTATTCGTCGTCATTATCGATATACTCGTATAGAATACGTACATTGGAAAACCGGGATGAAGAGTTCGATAATTAATTTCCTCAAATATTTATTCAGTATTTCGTAGCCTTTTCATTAAACTGAATACTGTTCTGATTAAATAAATGATCGTATTGACCCGAGCTATCGAAGTTACAACTCCCTTTTGGCAATCAGAGAAAAGCGATAACGCTCCTTTGAAAATTTCAAACATAAATGGGTTTGATTTCAAACATGATTTTCGAACGCTGGGAGCATCAAAAATACAAACGTGCATCATTAGAGCTAGTTCGAAATCGTTACAGCAAATGAGCCGATAAATCGAGGAAAGCGATAGACCAGTAAACTGAGTAAAAAAAAAATCGATATAATTAAACAGACTCATTCAGCAGTAGATGTGGATGATTGAAAACATTCAGAACCCGGTCAAATCCACGAGGTCTGTTCAAAAAATCAATCAATTTTTATCTCCTCAATCGTCGCAAAACGCCGCCCTTTTAGGGGTCTCTTCAATCTTGAGAACAGGAAAAAGTCCCCTTATCGACTGTACGATAATGGGACAAGAACTCCTGTACTACGTCACGATAAGCAAAGAAAACATTGAGCAAAACCTTGACACTAGTAACTCATGAAAGGCTAGTCTGATTTCAAAAAGTAAACCAATGTTAGAAGATTAAAATGCTTATCAAACGAGGTACCACAACATCCCCTTTCCGTTCGAAAAAAGTGGCTTCATGCAGTGTTAGCGAAAATGACGCTACACAATTTTTTTATTGAAGAGTACTAAAAATGATGCCTTCCAAGTAAACTTTTTCTGATCTTATAATTTTTTATTGATTCTATAGAATAGAACATTACAGACCGGTTACCCCAAATTTATTTATTTAACTTTTAGTATCGGTCAACTGCAAAGACACCAAGATAGCCGTGCAAGTGAGAACCAATAAGCCTTTCAACGGCAGGATTTATGCTTTGGGAAGATCAGAAACTTGCAATGTTGATGTAGCCAACAGCGACCTCTTCCGACTTGACTTGACTATGGTTGGTCAGGATTGCAACACACAGTCTGTGGTAAGCAAATTACATTTTAGCATTCTTAAGTTCTGGAGAACCTCCCTTATCTTGCAGTAAGGGGGTTACTTCATGTGTATTATGGATTCTCAATTCAACCTGATATATGTTTACTGTAATAATCTATTATTTTTCCATAATGTTTCTAGTATGATTATATGTAGGTATTTTTTACAACCATGCTTCGTCAATTAGAATTTATCCTCAAGCTGTCCCTGAAGTCACATTTCTTTAAGGATGTGATAGTTCTTTTTCAGTTACTTCTGTCTGTCATTCAGCTGACTTTTTTCTTACTGTTGTCTCTACTTTCATTGGTTTTCGTCAGCATTCTTCACTTCTCCATTTTCTGTTTATTTTTAGTATTCCATTTTAAGTTGAACGAAATTCAAACTCCATAAAAAATTATAGTGAACTTTCAAACGATGTAAGAAAGCAATTAAGTACAAAATAAAGTATTCACAAAGATGTGTAGATCATGCATCGAAGTTACGTTCAGATACAAACTAAAGAAAAAAGCCCTTCCTTCTAATGAACATTGAATTATACAAGAAATGTTTTCCTATTCATTTTGTACTGCAAACATTCGTTATGGAGTTGATTCAGATATCATTCATGGAAACAATACACAATGTACTATACAGTGTCTTTCGTAAAGCGTTTCCTTTCATTGAGCGCTTCCTATATTTAAATTTAAATAAAACAAAGTGTGTGAGATATTATCGAAATGTTTTATTCGTTCAAAAGACCTATTGATGCCATTATGTGTGAAACATAACATCGTTCGAATGTCCGCCACGGCTTCTTTAGATGGAGCGCATCCGAAACGACCAATTTTCCATGACTTTGGCGCATAAATCAGGCTGAATTTGACGGATAACATAGGTTATGTTGGCTTTGTGACTTATTCGCATACACCTGCGGCTTGAGAAAACCCCGCAAAAAAGGTCTAAAGGGGTCAAATCGCACAATCTTGGTGGCCAGTATACATCACCTCCACGTGAGATGATCATGCCCTCAAATCGCTCGTGCAGAATATCTAATGTGGCATAAGCTGTGTGGCATAAGCCGTCCTGTTGAAACCACATATCGTTGGTGACAAGTTCAGGCCAAAAGAAGTTAATAATTATCGACCTATAGTGCTCGCTGTTAATAGCGATAACTTGGTCAACGTCGTTCTCAAATGAATATGGACTGATGACGCTGCCAGCCCAAAGTCCACACCAAACAGTGACTTTTTCGGGATGCATTCATCCAGGAATGAGCCTCATCGCTGAATACGATTTTCCGATTATAATTAGGGTCAGTTGCCATGTTACCAACTGCTCCAGAGTCCATTCAGCGAATACAGTCGTTATCAATGGTCGTTTACCTTCAGTTCCTGGGTCAGTTAAATTTTGTACGGATTGTACATATATTTATTTTGGGATGATCTACATGATCAACACATCTTAGTGACGAGTTTATTTTGTAGTCCTTTGGAAGTTCCCCACACTTTTTTGTATGAAGATGGAGATGGAAAAACTAATCCCTCCTAAAAATATACCCCTTTCAATCCATTTTTATATTTCAATATTATATATTTCAATAGCTACCATCCTAAAAGATCAATGCATTATAAACAGAAACCTTTCTCTTGATTCACTCACGTGCAGACAGACAGACGCAGTGGGGAAACTTTGTTTTATAATAGTATTGATATAAATCATTGTGAGTTCAATCTTTATACTCCTTTTATTGTGTGATGTATTCTCGTGTATATGTATGTAGCCAAGAATGGATACTTGAGGTACTTCAAATTCAAATTCAAATATGCCACATTAACCTGTATATTATATTTGTTTCGTAAAGGTGTATCATTTTTCATTGCTACAGATTTTTCAAGCTGCCACCTTTTTGTAATTTTTTTCAGAGTCAGTATCTCTGTGGGTACTCCTGACTTCAGCCTTCCTTAACTAAATGGTTGTCACATTTTACCCATTTTCACTTTACTGGAATGAATGGAAACAGTTCCACTAATGGAAATTATGCAAAAGTGTTTTCATTCGTTTCATTAAAGTGATCCTGGATTTCCATAAAATAACCAAGTCATCAATTAAACAAATTACCCATTTTATTTTATTTCACACCTGTCAATTCATTAAAGTGTGTAGGTAGAGTTTTGCACTGAGACAAGCAAGTCAAGTACATTTATTTTCTAAGCAGAATTCCCTGTATCATAAAAAAACTTTAATATATTGAATACACTTTTTTCCTTTATAGACTGGCGTCTACAGTAACACAGTAGTTTTACAACACCACAGCGTGGTCATGACAAAGGCTGATAAGATCTACAAAGTCAAGTGCACCTACGATATGTCTTCAAAGAACATAACCTTCGGAATGATGCCAATCAGGTATTTATGCTTCCAACTAGTGAAAAGTCAATTAGTATAAATCAGGTTAACGTGGGGTCATTCACATTAAGCAGCTGATTATCTTTCAATAACTTTCCTTAAATATTTTTCAGAGACCCAGAGATGATCAGCATCACTTCTGCTCCTGAAGCACCTCCACCAAGGATCAGAATCTTGGACAGCCGTCAACGTGAAGTTGAGACCGTGCGTATTGGAGATAAACTCACATTCAGGATTGAAATTCCAGAAGACAGTAAGCCATATTCTTTGAAAGACTTTTTTGAGTCAATGTCTCTTACTGTATTTTTGGGGCTTATAACCTTCCACAATATAAAAAATAAAGGAAGCTTAATCAGTAGAAAATCTGCTAAAGTGTAATTAAGGGCAAACTAAAAAGTTCACACTGGAAAGTTACTACGCAATATAAACCACTGAAGAATCCAATAATCATAATGCTTATAAATCGATTAATTGATGTAAAACATTAAATTTCTTCAAATGGTTAACGTTCTCAAAACCCAATAAATGCACTTATGAAGAATGCCTCAATCGGGGATAGCGAAGCATGTTTCAAAATCAACTGGGCATAACATAATAAAATTGAGTAAAACAAAAATTGTTTTTTTCAAGAAACAAGTGTATTTCGAACAGTTCGGTGGAAATGGGTCGTACCTGGTTACCATTACTGAGAAAAGAGCTGGTGAAAAATGAATACCTAAACTTGAATTCATTTTTTTTTAATGTGGAAGGTTATAAACCCAAAAGACAGGTAAGAAATACAGTATATTCGTAAGTTTTCATTCCTTTTCTACATTACTGAATCTCCTCGTTATCTTTCTTCTATCATCTACATGCGTCTAATTATATATTATTACTTTCTAGATTACATTGACCCCTTTCAGTATTTCGAATTACTATATAGTTTTTCTCGTTCTTTAGTTCTCTTCTCTTTATTTAGATTTCCAAATCGGATTTTGATACATGTGGTTTCTGCCACAATATTAAATCTCCTATATATTGTAATAACTTTCTCATTTCCTCAAACAATCTCTTTTCTATCAATATCACTCAACGCCATGAATTTCAGCACCTTATGGTATCTTCGCAAGAAGCTGTGTCGCCATGGCGAAAGACTCGAAGAGCACCTTCCAGATCATCGATGACGAGGGATGTCCTGTTGACGCGACCATTTTCCCCGCTTTTACTCCAGATGGAACCGCATTGCAATCAGTCTACGAAGCGTTCAGGTTCACGGAATCCTATGGTGTCATCTTCCAGTGCAACGTTAAATATTGTCTGGGACCTTGCGAACCTGTAAGTATGGAATTTGGTTAGAGGGTACTCCGTGGTTCTCTTGCTGTTTAGATAAGGGAAGAACGTAGAAATTGCTGAACGTAGAGTATAGATTCTTCTTTGTCAGTTTCGAAACGATTACTTTCTTACAAGTTTATGATCAAAACCGCAGCGTAATATAAAAGTAAAAGGAATAACATATTTAAATATAACTTTTTGTAGAAATTTCACGGTTTACAAAAGCGCGACTCGTGTTTCATTATACAGTAGCTTCTTCGGGTATGGTTTTAGTACTAACATAAACTGTCAATTGAAAATATCATCATAAAGTGTTACCCAAATACGTTATAATGAATTTTCATCAAGTACAGCCCGATTACATCATCATATATCAAAAGAATTAATATTCTGTTCAATTAGCAACAGATCATTGGATCCCCAGCTAGCATAAAGACCAATGAAAATCTTCACAAATCTTCCCACACAGGTCACCAGGAAGCTGACAAGTTACGGTTTTTTCCGTCGGTTTTATGCTCAAATCCTCAGACTATACTGTGGATTAATCAAGTTCAAAACTAATATTGGACAGTATAAACTTTCATTATCAGATGTAACTGTGACAAAGCTATTTTCTGGGTTTGTTGGTCGTGTTCTGCATATTTTCATGTATGATGTTTCGCCTACGACTCGGACAGAAGTTATCAAAGGCATGAGGCAAAAGAGGTCATATAATTCAATTCAATTGACCACCAATGGAAGAAAACCAGAAACTCAAACCTTGAATGTAGTTTCTGTTGTGAGAAAAATCCGAGCATCACCATGGTTGTGCCATGAAAGAAACTGAGAACGTTAGAGACACTGTTTATTCGGAAGACATTGGGGATGCGTTATTTCGTACATCTTACGATGTCAATGAAACACCATTTATGGTGACCCATGTTGGGATATTTCTGGAGACATTATGAGGAATCACCTCCTTAAATGTTTTACACTTATTCAGTTACACCCTGTATTTTCACACATGATGATGTTGAGATTTTCGGATTGCAAACAATCGATTTAAATGTTAAGATCATATCCTGATGAATTCAATTTAATAGTTTGGTAGATTTCTTCAAAAAAGTTCACTACTCATTCCATAAAAATATGTACTTACCTACTTTAGATCTATAACATGATCCATTTTTTTCAGGCTGTTTGTGAATGGGGCAGAGACTCTCTAGAATCTTGGGGAAGAAAGAAGAGAAGTGTAAGCAATCAAACAGATGAAGAGAAAGAAGAAGACATGACGCTTAGTCAGGAGATTCTGGTGTTGGACTTTGGAGATGAAAAACAATCCGAATATTTGAGAAACGATCTATCCAGTGCTGATTTTGGAAAAGGTAAGTAGAATAGTATGTGGAACTCCGATGAGAACCAAAGCACTACTCAAGCAGTGTTCTTTTTCATCGACATTATGCACTATTTCTTCCGAAGAACATCGCGCGAGATTGTCAAATATTGAACAATGCTTGTGATGGTTTAAGTCAAAAGGGTTCTTCTACTGACTGAGTTTTGAAAAATATGAATTTTTCACGTGTTAAATTGTTTGACATATTTCTTTCCTCTTTCAGACAAAACTGTGACGATCGTCGAACCTTGTCCGACCAAAACCTCAGTCCTAGCTCTGGGAGTGACATGTGCCTTACTAGTTTTACTGTACATCACCACACTATTCTGCTACTACATGAAGAAATGGCTGAATCCAGGAAAACATCTTGCCTGAATAGTGTAAAACAGAATCATAGACTCCTTTATGGTGCTTTCTGAAATCAACGCGATTCCCTTATTTGGGGAGTTGATAGTTTTCTCAACAGTACGAAGGACGGTCAAAAATTTCCCGTTGAAATTCAGTAATGATATTCTGGCTGACCCTCGTAATGTAATTTAGTAAGAAAAATTGTCGGACGGGATTTTCCCAGTTCAACAAAAGTCTCGCAATAATTAAATATAAGTAACTGAATTCTCGGGGTGGTGATGGTCTGGTGGTGGGACAGCTTTACGAATCTGTAGTATACAGGGTTATTCAAAGCACGGGTCTAATGAAAAGTTGGTCATTCGAAGTCATTGCCGTATTTTGGAATAACCCTATATGAAGATTAATATTATTTTACCGTTACAAAAATTATACTTATTTATTCGTTTGATCTCTTTTCATAGGAGTTCCTTTTAACGCACTGATTTCGTTCTTCCGGAACAGATTTTGTGGCGGTAAGATTTTAGATTTCTCTCTGCTAGTGATTTTTAGTGCTTAGGATTATTTATTGTAGTATTTATTGTTCATCGGTTTTTTTTGTATATATTTATATGGAATTTCAAGTCTATTTTTTATTTATATTAGGATTTTTTATTACGTAGATCTTTTGTATCTCAAAATAAATAATATTTGAAAGAGAAAGTGTTGTTATTTCTAATTTATAAATTCTTTTTTGAAACATCATCAGCTAACATTCATTCAACCGAAATCTGGAGATTGACAATAATATCAATATACATCGTATCGAAGTTGATATAATGAATTCAAAAACAGAAATCACAGAAAAGTTGAAATTTGCTTCTAAATCTGGAGTCACGAATTAAACAAACCGGAGAGGGTATGTTATCAATCTAAGATATGCAATAATATAACCAAGTGACAAAAATAATATACTTTGCTAAGGGACATTCTTAGGGACCATTAGTTTACAAAGATACATCAAGTTTCTGACCCTACTCTGTTTACTCTTACGGTAGACCAGGGAAAAAGAGCATCACAGTAACGATACTAATTTTGAAGATTATTAGGTACTTACCTAAAATAAAATATTATCAAAACTACGGAAGTACACCAGAGCCATATATTTTTGTTATTTGTTGAAGTCGATATTTCGAGATTGACTTGAAAATTTTCAGTTTAAAATCGAAATTTCAAAATTAAAATAAAAATTTCGACTTATAAAGTCAGAATTTTCAAAAAACAAGTAATGAAAATATGAGGCACATCCCTAAATGATATCTACAGAAAATATCATAAAACAACGGGTATGCATTTATACAAGTCAAAAATGTTCCAATAATGTATTCAGCCAAGCTAGCGTAGAGATACGCAACTTATGGAAACCCTTAATCAATCGAAAAATGGCAAACTTCCGCTAAACCGGTGAAGCGGAAAGAGGAAATAAGTGAAAGTAGATACTCGAATGATCCATAAATAGTCATCTCTCAGAGGAGTTAATCCAGTCATCACTCGAAGACGATTGTGGACACTAACAATGGAACGTCGTGAAGTAACAAGGTTCGAAATCTTTCTAATGTTTATTTCATTTTTAACTGTTCAATTTTTTATTTTTTGTTCATTCTTTATTTCATTGTGATTTCATTTCATAGTTTATTGCTTAATATAATCGTTATTTCTGGCTATTCATTTTGATTTTTAATTTGTATTTGTTCTTCCAGAAATTTCAAATAATATGTCATATTAGACAATGAAAGTCCGAAGTAGTAAAATTCACCGTGAAACATTGTCAACCACTTTCAAACAAAGAAAAAAATACCGTTGTGAAAAATGGTTGGAGGTATTTGATTTTCTTACCGTCTATGACCTTGAAACTGTCTGCGCGTCGCTTTTACGAAAAGAACTAGAAAATTATTCAAGTGAAAACTGAAAGCATTGACTCAACTATTCGTTTAACACAACTACAATCGTCCAGACAAAGTTCGAGCTGGCCGAGTTGAAGATTGGTTTACTAGAAATTATTATTTTCTATTTATTTTGTGTCGTGTTGACACTATGAAAACTTACGATAAAACTGTATATCGATGCAATCAGGAAAAATCGAAAGTCAACTATTGATACAGAAATTTGTGAAGTAGCCATTGAAATGAGAAACACATGAAATATTCAAATACGAAGTTTTATCATCGTATTAACAGGTACAGATAGATGTCCCTAGTTCAACCAAAAATCAAAAGTTGGAAATGTTTTATCCATATCGTTTTATTTTTTGGTATAATAGTCAATCAACGATTGTAAAAATACCACTTTATAAGATTTTTTTAAACATATATCTCAATCCTGTGACACATTTTGGCAAAATTCTCATTATTTCATTTCATATGGCATATTCATATGATTAGATCAATAAGCCAGGCACTGTTTTTCATAACAGGCTTTGAAATTAAGTTGTCTCTTTTTTCGATATTATAATTTTGACAGTTAGGTATCCTCAAAAAAGGCCGTAGAAAACAATTTCGGGGGGGGGTTGATTTCGTGGAACAGTAGAAAAAATGAAATATAAAAACAACGAAAGAAATCATATATATTTATCATAAAACCATTACAGAAATATTAACATCTTTTTACAAAATAAAATTTAGTTTTATAGCTTTCTTTGCAGCAAACAAATCAATTACCTCCTCGGTGTCGATGTCAATTCTACGGTGGATTGACATTAACGCCAAACCGTTTAGTCGTTCCTGACTTGTGGAGTTTCTTAAATAAGTTTTGAGGCATTTCAGAGAAGGGAAAGTTCTTTCACGGGTACATGTGGAAACAGGTAGTGTCGCCAGGATCTTTGAAAGTTTGTACGCACATTTCCATAAGGTTTTTCCATTGTGTTTCGGGGAAGTTTTTTTCAATACTCTCTTTCAATCACTTGGTTCATTTTGCCAAGGAATTGATAACATTTCTAACAGATTTTATAATTCTGTATCTGTAGAGTAGGGAGGGTGAGTGTGCCTACAGCACTTAGGCCACTTGTGACTCATTGTACATCCTCCCAAGGAGTTGTCCTCCTAAGTCATCGTCGATCCTGTCCTTTCCAGGAAGGTGGACAGGTCAATAGGAAACATCTTCTTTATATCGGTAGGTGTAGGCCAAGACTCGCCGAACACACACTCTCTTATTGACGATAACTCCTGACACTCGCATAGGACATGCCTGACATTTTCATCCTCCTGTTTATAAATCCTGCATAGAGGTGTCTACTAGCCTCATATTATGGAGGTGTTTTCTTAGTTGACAGTAGCCAGTCAGAAATCCTACTGTTCAGCGTAGATTTTTCCTGGTCATCGCTAGATATTTCTTCGGCGGCAGCTTCCCAGGGTCGCCAAGGGTGATCCTGGCGAAATTGCATCCTTTGATTTCATCCAATCTCTTTAGGGATTGATCATGGATGTAACGTTTCGCTAGTTCCGCAATTGTCGAAGTCGTAGGCCGTAGATGCCACTGGGTCCTAAAATTCTTAGTCCAGCCGCTTCCTTGACTAAAGAGTCGGCAATGCGATTACCTTTACTCCTGTCGTCCACCTCAGGATAATATTATTGTCTACCGAGGCTTTGGCTAAATCTTGGTGGCACTCTAGTACTAGGCCAGAGGTAACACGTTGTCTGTTCTAGGCTAATAGGGCTTGTTATTTTTTTGTTAGAAAATCCTTTCCTGGTTATTTCTTTTGCGGCAATTGAGATACCAGTCAGTTATGTTTGAACCATGCTGGTATTTTTTCCCATTCCCCACTAAATATTTAGGCTTAGTGATCTGGAGTACACTCCACATCCTGAGCCTTCTTTGGTTTTTGAGCCGTATGTATATATGCGTATTGCATTTGTAGCATCTGACTCTGTGTTCTGTTTTATTTGTGTTGTGTAGGGTTGGCGGTTGACGTTATTTTCATGGCTCCTGTGATGTTCAAACAAGCCAATCGTTGAATTCGATTTAATTTTTGGATGGCCGTTGCTTGTAGAACTTTCGGGAGGGATCGATCCCCCTTGATCCCCCTGGCTACGGCCTTGTCTCAAACGCTTTCCACGAGAATTTGGCGAAGAGAGTTATAAAAGGGTTTTGAGAGTTTTCAAAATGGTAAATCTCAACTTAGTCGAGAGAATTGAGATTGTGCGTTTAGTTGGTGATAATGCTGGATCAACGAAAAAAGCCGCGGAAAAATTCAACAGAAGACATCCAGATCGTGAACCAATTCACCATACAACCGCCTCCAGGATCAATACGTTATTCAATAGAACCGGGAGAGTATAATGAAACACATACACCGAGACAAAGAGGGAATATAGAGATAGACGGACAAATTATAGAGTATGTTCAAGAAAACCCGAAAAATGGCTTGCGACAGATTTCACGAGATTTACCGGTACATGTTTGAAAAAAAATAAAGTTATTTGATTCAAACCGAAAATCATGCACACTTTAGAAGGAGGCGATGGGGAACCCAGGTTGGAATGCTGTTTATTCTGCCAAGGTGAATATTTGAATAACTTTCTGGGCAATATTCTCTTCACCGATGAGGGGACATTTACCACTAACGGTACAGTGCCCACTCAGAATTCCAGGTACTGGGCAAGGGAGAATCCACACTGGATGATAATTGCAAAAAGACAATATTCACAAAAATCAATGTCTGGGTAGGAATATTCAAATACCGTATAATAGGTCCAGTGTTTTTTAAAAACACACTAAACGGTGAAGGATTTTATAAATTTTTGACAACGAAATTCTTGGATTTCATGAAAGAACTAAGCATTGAAGAACGCAGAAATGTTATATTTCAACTAGACGGTGCCTCCATTCATAATGTGATTGCTGTGCGATAATATCTTGATGGAAATCTTCAAGGAAGATGGATTGGAAGGAACAGCCCTTTAATTTGATGCCCCCTCGATCACCAGACCTGACTCCATCAGATTTTTCTGTAGGGATATTTGAAAGAACGGATTAGTAGAAATAGATCACGGAATTTGAACGAACTGAAGGAGAGGATAAGACAAAAGTGTGGTGAAATAACACCAGGCCAATTAAGGAAGACCTGCCAGAATTTGAGACGACGTTATGAAAAATGTATAGAGCTTGAAGAAGGATATATTGAAAGCTCCCATATCTGAGAAAACGGTTCCATTTATCATATGATTTATTTCTGTTGTTGGTAGTTTTTCTAAAATTAAAAACACGTTTTCAACTTTTGATTTGTTGAATTCAATTAAAACAAAGACAACTTCCTCAAACGATTACAACCTATGTAACTTCGTAGCTGAGTATGCGAAGATTATTTCTTCGAATGGTTACTTCGAATGGTTACTTCATCTTTCATAAAGGGACAGTCAAAACATCATGGATTTGTAAATTTGTCATCATATAACTAACACCCTGTATGAGATATTGGGCTGAAACTTGGAATCCAGATGTTCGAAATATGCCCAAATCGAATGGGGTATCCACTTTTTCGATTAAAAATGCCTATTGGTCGTTCTCGAAATTACGACCCATTTTGCGTAGTAAGCCTTGAGAAGGAGAATAATTCATTACTGTCAACATATTTGGATAGAGCTGGTCGAGTACCATAATTTGAAATTGTTGAAATTTTTCTAAATTGGTTCATGGGTTCCAAAATAACAGGGTGTTGCGATTTGAAATCGCACACACTATAATAGGAAATAATAAACAAACTTCTAAATAAATTGATAATAGCCTTGAAAAGTGCAACTTGTATCAAAGTAGATCATAAAAAAAGGATACCTACATCTTCATAAAAACAATCTCACCTTAAGAATTACGCACTAGAGTGCCTATTACGAAAATAGACTACGATTCATTTAAAAATGTATTAGACAGTAATTACATATTATAAGAGATGCGATTATGGCGCAAGAAAGATTAACTATTACGTGGAGGTATTTGACTATTGGAAAATATGAAGACATCAAGTTCAATGCAGCTAGCTTATCGCATATCCAACAGAATTGTACAACAGAGTTGTAAGCATGCTATATTACTCGACCGGTTTCTATGGTTGAACACAATACCACACACGTTGTAATTATTTTATTGGTACGATCAAACGATTGGACCAACCAAAATCGAACAACTTGTAGTACAAATTGCATCGTTGTATCGTAGTAAAAATCAACCAGTAAGTCCACTCCCACTACTTTCATTTATAAATTCACAAAGTTCTCGGTGACCTCGAAACGGAGTGTTGAGCCAATTTTGTTCTTTTACCATAGGCGTGCGCTCATATAAAAACAAAATTTGAGGTTGTTATAGAATATTTTGTGGTAAATTACTTATAACCAACTACAAAAACAACTAAAAACAATAATAACAACAGCGAATAAACTAAACACAATATCAATTTCCGACCGTTTATTATAACTGATCCGATGTCCGTGGTACCTTTAAATCCTTCGATACTACGGCACTGAACGCGTTGGATGAGAATCTCATCCTAAGAGCGGTTGAAGGTCCCCGGCCACTCGGGCAGATCACGTGGTAAGAGAGCCTACTGGTTGTATTATTCTACTGTCGTTGTATTCTTATAAATGATGAAATAACTAAGTTACACAATACCACTACATCACTATATGTTTTTTTATGTAGTTAAGTAATTTCGTCTCGAAACAAGTGTTTGCTCACTTATCGAGTAGGTATCATTTATGCAAAAAAATTGTATTTCCTCTATACATTCTCTCTCTCTCTTCATTAATAAATATCAAAAGAGTAGTATGCTACACTTACATCAGATGGTCAGGTTATTGGGTAAATGATTGTATAATGCAACATCTGGGATGTTTTGCTTCGACAGTTCCAGGAGAACTCTATGTTGTCCGAGTTTATCCGCCGATCTAGTTGGTAATTGTGAAAATCAGACTACTTCTATTTTTATGTATTTCCAAAACGGAGTGAAAAATTTACTCCAAAAGAGTAGTATGCTACACTTACATCAGATGGGAATGGAATAATACATGGCATGGTATGAAAATCTGGTGGCTCAAACATTTTTTTTAATTGTCGCAGCCAGTAAAACTGAGTAGATAATTTTCTGCATAGATAAATTACATGATTTTCCTATCTAGGGGTACTATTGATGTGATCTGCTAGTAGTTTTATATGCTCATATTTTGTTATTTGAGTATTATTTAATATTGTCATGTTGCCTATCAATATCCTAGTCTGACTGCACCATAGAAGATGCTGAAAAATGTCATTAATGGAAAGTATGAATCCCGACCCCTAGGGTATCCCATGAGATATGGTGGTTTGATCTAATAATGTACTACCTAAGCACACTGCCTGTTATCTTGAAAAAAAGTGGGACTTAAGCAGTTTATAACAATGGGTAATGGCTCAAAAAGATAGGTCTATGTTCCTATGATAATTTGGCTATTCAGATTGTATATGTCTTTCAAAGTAGTAGATACCTAACACCGTTTAATTTACCATTTGCACCATTGTCAAGTTCTTTGTGAACAAAAATAAAATCAGAATGAAGGAAATATGGAAAAATTTATTAAACAAAAAAAAAGTCATTCAGTTTCCAACATAGACAGCCTCTGCTGCGTCAAAATGGCGACATCAACCATAGCTTCAGGCACCAATAATTCAGCAACATTATATTTAAGAGACTCTTCATAAGCGTAAAGTATGCTGGTATCATAAATCATCATTTTACTCTGAGTTAGAGCCAGAATACAGTTTCGAATCCTAGCAATTGTTTCACGTTCCTGTCTTGGAACAACCTGAAATAAATATTAAATGTTGAGAGTAAAATCAAATATCAATGATAGAAAACCACACCTCTTCTAAATTCTGTACAAAACCTCCAACGCTGTCTTCAGAATTATCGATAATAGGACAAATCCAGATAAAACCATTGTTTCCGAGTATAACGCTTGCTCCTATGGGCAAATTGTGGAAATGGGTTTTACTTCTTTTGATCAGAGAAGGAAATACTTTAATCAATACTCCTTGGGATAGCTAAAATTGGACTTGTTAATTCACAATTCAAAGCCATAATATGAAAATATTTTCACTAGGGTGCCTTACTTTTCCATAACGTAAGCTTCTTGTATGAAGTGATAATGATCCATCAGAGTAAACACTTTGGACTTCAGCACTAATAAGATCGCCTTCTTGAAGGAACTGCCTCATCATGTGTTCATCTTCCACTGACCTTCGTCTCTAATAATAATATCAAATTCACATAATACATAAAATAGAGATGTTTTACACTCGGTATTCAACCACAGTAACCAATACATTGTTAAACCACTACAAGATATATTCTTTCTCCATCATTTCTTTTGATTCTGCACGACTCACAAGCAAATCAATAATTAGAACAAATTATTTATGGTGCTGTGCTTGTTTACATTTCAGTCAAAATACATGAGGGCGAACAAATAAAAAATTTGTTGAAATGTCAGGATATTTCTAACAAAAAACTCCTAACCAGTGAGCTATCAAGGCATAATAAACAGCTTTTGCAGCTGATGACCCACGTTCACTGGAAACCAACCTAAAAGCACAGCACCTAGAAGCCAATTTTTACCCATGTTGACAATATGCTTTTCAAATCCATAAAAATGTGGTATTTGTACAGTTTTCAATGCTCTTCCGTTCCCCAATTCACACCTGAAGGATAGTAGGTATAAGTGTTTTTGAAATATTTGATTTGGTACAATTTGAGTCACACCATTGTTTGAAACATTCCCTGATACAATTTTTTCCTTCTTTTTTCGTAATATGGTTGTATCACCTGCAAATACCTCAAATTTATCTTAGATGTCAATATTCAATAAATCATTGATATATAAGAAAAGGATGGGACCTAATATGGACCCTTGCAGTACACCATACTTAATATACTCTTCGGTGGAATAAGAGAACGTTTTCACTATTTGATGATGGTCTGGGCTAATTGAAGAATTGGTCTTTTCTCAAATGAAAACATTTTTAACTCTTTTCCTAATGTATTCTTACCAATTCTCCTCCAGGAAGATTCACAGATGACAATAACAACAAGGAGTCCAATCTGGAATTAGTTTCGACTTTCCACCTCTTCTGTTGAACTTCTGTGATTCTTCCAACGATAACATCTCCTACTTCACCATTATATCTGCTTTTCAATGGCCTCACCGATATGAGATTATTGACTTGCTCTCTGACACCAGCAACGGAAGCTTTTAACAAGCCGCTCTCCTCATAAGTACCATGTCCCCTTCAAATTAAATAATGAATCAATATAATTTTCAGAATGAAAATACTTGGCTAGTGGAATTCAGTACCTCATGAACTCATTTTGATTGGTTATTAATTCTCCTGGAGTGAATATTTTGGGATATCTTTGATTAACAGCTACAGAGGAGTTTACTCGCTGAGATGCTAAGCGAATACGAATTTTTTTAGACATATTCTCAATGAAACTGAGTAATAAAAAATGCAGTTTCTTTCAGTTATAGAAATATAAATTAATTATAAGTTTTACAAAAACAATGAAAATGTAGGTTATTAACTGTATTCTTCTTAATTCTAAGATTGTTTTGAAGTTTTTTGGCTTTGCTGCTATAGGATATTGTGGCGTTAATAAATAAATTACTCAAAAACTTTGACTTATGACATAAACATATTGAGGTTGCATATGCATCTTGAATTGGCGAGGCATTCATTTTTTTATTCTTTCAAATGATTGATCTGAGCTCCAAAATCTCAAAAAATTAAAGAATGGTCTACAATTCAAATTCATTTGAACTCGAGTCAATTTCAAGGTCAGGACCACTCGTGTCATCTTATAAACGTATAGAAAAATCCTGTGAGGAAAGTTGTATGAGTGTCGATCTCAGATGTATCACTTCCACAGTCCACCATGGTATTACTACAGAGAAAAGGCTTATCTGTGGTGTTGAATAAGAAAATCTATGGTATCAGCCGGGAAAGGAACGTTAAAACAGGTAAATATTTCAAATTTCATTTTGAAATATTCATTTTGTTCAATACGTACGTATCACTTTTCGAAACAGTTGTCAGATCTATATTGATTTCTGTATACTGTTGGTTGTTAAATGTGCATTGAAAAGTTTGTATGTGGAGCAAGTGTTTCTGTTATTATATACGAAAGATTTCAAATCTACTTTTCGTTCTTTACAAATAATGAATGTAAGCATTTCGATACATAATATAATTCAAAAACGTTTCCATACATTAACTCACGCTGGACCACGACTTCAGCTGAATCATCTGTTAATTATTTTACAGTAGCGTTATTTGCATTTCCTCAATGAATCTCTTTCCTCCATACCAACTGCGTTTTACAATACTAGTAAAAAATTGAAAAACAAAATCTTGTCTACTGTTTGACAAATCAAATAAAATAGGATTAGTAGTGTCGAATGGCATATCGGTGGCCATACAATGAAATAATGAGAAGTAGAAGAATTACATCATTGCCATTGCATGTGTCACTGTCATTACTGTCAGTGATTGTTTACTATTTTGACTTTTGACAACTTCAAAATCCAGGAACACGAATGGTGTGTTGTCACGTATCATGTGTTAAGTATTATGTTATAAGAGAAAATAATCATCTATTAATAATTAACAAACAGTCAAACCCATGATGAGTCTAACGACCATCTTCCTAGTCGCACTAATTTTCCACAAAACCGTCCAGAACGACGTGAGGGGATTCGATGATTCCGTGCTCTTTAGCCTAAACTGGCCTGGAGAACTTCTCCCAGAAGATATAAACGCAGACGACGAGACTATAATAGTGACGTCCGAGCATAAAGAGCAGTACAAGTGTTACATTCCTAGCATAACTGAAAAAGAATCGAATCTTGATGAGAAATATGATGGCCCCACAGCGCTGGAGCTCATTTCGCCTCTCTTTACGCAAACGATGTGCTCGTTCAGATTGGAATCCTACTGGACATATGAAGTTTGCCACGGCAGGTATATTAGGCAGTACCATGAGGACAGAGAAGGTAAAAATTGTAATAACTTTATTCAAAATGGATATCTCAATGTACATTCATTAGAGTGCAAAGTATCTCAAGTATTAATGTCAAGTACATATACACAGACCAGTATTTAAAATATTTATTTTGGAATTTATGTTCATTAGTATTTCAAATTGGATATCATAATATGCATCATAGGAGCAAAAAACAAAAAGCAGATACAATTATTAAATTCAAGATGCATACATTATTGTATATAAGAAGAAATGGTAGCAAAATGTTCTTTTGAATTTTCGACCTTAGTAATTTTTTCACTGAATTTTTGGGATAATTGCAGTTTCTCTTTTCATTATAATAATTACTATGCTTGTCAAGTTTGGACAAGTATTTTTAGAGAGTACTCTTGATTTGAGTTTATGTGAAGGAACTTCTATTGAGTTAAAAATACAATGCTATGAAGAAAGTCTCAGTACGGCTAAATAATCATAAACACAAGTCCTTTGAACATTGAAAGTTCTTACTATTTCAAGAAGCTGGTTTTTCTCATATGCTCCTTTGAAAAACAGCATTGCCAACAAAAAATTCTGAATCTGTTTCTGTGCTGGAACCGTGTTAACAAGTTGTATTTTTTCATATATTATGTATTTCAACTGGTGGTTACTAATAAATAAATGAATAACTCAATTTGTTTCGACCTTGTGACATTAATTTGATGGAAACAACATTATTTCTACTAATTTATTTGTATTTGTTACAAAGAAAAATTTGAATTTTCAAGAAATTTTCACTAAGTAATAGTAATGTCTTTAATTGTAATTGTCAATTAAAATCCTTATTCATATGTACAAATTGTAACAATATGTACCGAATATGTTTGTTTCCAAATAGTCTAACTTTAGTGCTTGTCGAGTACCTATATGCTGGTTTTATAGTTATAATAATATGACGAAATGAAGATGAAAAAGTTGGTGTGTGGTACTGCGCTTGTAGAAATTCAATAACAAAACATTTGAACTGTTGCAAAGCATTTCTTCTTGTGAAGTTGTTTGGCAGTTTATTGAAGTTCAACAGTTTGTTATGAAATGAAGAGTCCATGGTCGTTACAAGATTGGTTCTTACCTTACAGATCATTACTCCCTTTTGTTCGATCAACATGAATTTGATGGTGAAAAGTAATATTTTTCAACTAAGAATTTGAAAAATGAAGATCTTTGAGAAATAAACTAATCTGTCTTTCACTGTTAACCAATGTAGGGAAAACAACAAAGGTGCAGGAGTATATCTTGGGTAAGTGGGATGAGAGTTACTTTGAAAAGCTGATGTCGAATGCCAAGGAGGAGGAACTGGACACAACTTCACCGATTCCTGTGAAGAAGATCGACAATGTAAATTTACCCTACTATGAACTTACAATGGGCAACGGCACGTCGTGCGAGTTAAACAATAACAAGCCTCGCGTGACGAAAGTGCTTTACGTTTGCTATATTCACGGCAAACATGAGATGTATTCTCTTAAAGAAACTTCAACCTGCGTGTATGAAATAATAATTTTGTCTCCGTTACTCTGCACACATCCCAAATACAAACCGGCAGAGTCAGGCGAACACAAAATCAACTGCGTTCCTCTGGGCAATAGCTACAAGATGCCTTACAGTCTAGCGAAGTTGATGCACGATTCGGCGGAGCTGCGTGGAAAGTCAGATTTGTCGGATAGATTCTCTTTGGAACTGATCAAGCTAGACAAAGATGAACCAGTCATCATCCCTGAAAAGAACGTGCATGATACTTCTCCCGTTGAAAGTTTTTTGAAAGGTAAGAGATGTTTTTTAATCTACGAGATATGTTCAGAAAGTAACGGGAATTTTTGTTTTTCTAAAAAATATTTATTCATTCGTCTAAATTAATGTTGTCACATTCAAAATGGTCCCAATTAGATATTTCGCATTTATACCAGCGCTTCTTCCAATTCTCAAAACACTTTTTGAACTTGATATTTGGGATAGCCTTTGGCTCTTTTAGCGATGCGCTTTTAATACTTTATACTTGTAAAACAATGGACCTTTTAGGTTTTGTTTATTTTTAGAAATAGGAAAAAGTCACACGGATCCATGTCTGGCGAATATGGTGGCTGGGGTATCATTGGTTAATTGGTCGTGGTGCGAAAGCCTTAAATTTGTTATTTCATAAAACCTGACGTTTTTTCATATTGCTTCACGACTTTGAACTTGTAGGTAGTATTCCTTATTGACCGTATGACCTATGTCATTAAAATCGATATGCTGGGGCGCCCGGACATTCGTCATCTTCTAAATCTTCACAGCCATCTTGGAAATGCTTATACCACTCGTAAACTTTAGTTTTACCCATAGAGACTCGCCATAGGTCTTTGTTAACACTTCACACACTTCATTTCATTTTTTACTCAAAATTTTATATAAATTCTTTGATCCATTTGTTTTAATGCTCTTAATGCCATGCTCTTAAAAACATGTCCAACCTTAACGGCTACTACAGACAATGTAAACGATGTATACAGCTGAAAATTTTATCATCATCAGGAACATGTATATCAACACAATAAAAAAAGGCAATCGGACTCAAACCCCGGAAATTCAAAAATTCCTGTTGTTTTCTGAAAATACCTCATATGGATAATGATATTTTCATTTTCCCACTCCATATGTCTCCTTCCTAAATATAGAAAATAGTTTGTTATGTAAACAGCTGCATATTTACCAAAAGAGTTTGGGATGCTGCTATTTAAAATTATAAAATTAATTGGTATGTTTCAACTTAAAGATTTCATTATGTCGATTTCATTTATGTTTAATAAAAAGAAAAATATGGTTTCTCCTTTTTTTTCAAGTTTCTCATTTTTAATATTTGTGATGGCACTTGATGAAAATTCATCATGAAAGTATTTAACAATCTGTGATATTTTCGTGTATCAGTTCAGAAACGCCAACACATAAAAAAAAATTAGGCAAATATGTTAAAAATGAAACTTTTGTATCTGATAAATCAGCTATTGGTGAAACAGGAAGCACTTTTCCCAAAAGATTTTTTTCAATGGAAAGGCTAATTCAACATCTTCATACTATCTTTTGGCAGAAAAGTATGAGTTCAATCGTTGTTATAGTATATTTCATTAGCAAGGTAGAACTTGATCTATCCATTAAAATAATGAACAATTTTCACAAACATTTATTTCTAGACAAATTAAAACTTTGGAATGCTTGAAAGCCAATGGATTTTAAAACCCAATGACCAGTTTCAATTGAATAATTATTCTGTGTTAAATTTATAATTATAAAATTTATATTTTGTTGTAAAATCGATTAATATACAAGGTGTTAACTAAGTATATACCATAAATTTAACAGACGATTCTTTAGATAATTTTAAAACGAAATATTCATATAAACATGGGTCCGCAAATCCTTCGTTCTCA